AGCCTCGATTTTTTGAGCATAGATATTGAATTATAAGAGCAACAGACACAAAAATGACATAAAAATATTTACTAAAAACATACACGAATATGGTAACATGGACAAATACCAATTACGAATATAGAGGAATTATGCGAGAAATCAATACTTAGCCAACTGTGTTCCGTACATATATTAATATCGAACGCACTGTTCCTATTGGAGCTATATAATACAGTATTTCCCAGACTTGCCTGAAAACGGGACAACTTGTCGATTGTTGGAAACTCGTAAGGCGCGAGACTCAGCTGATGACGCTGACGCAGAATTTATTACCCAATTTCCCAGAGATCAGGGTATAAAAACCAAACATTTTTTCATATAAAAGTCAAGACGTTTTTAAAACAAAAAAATATTTTACAAAAAGAAGTCAATTATCAACCGATAGGTTCCTACGATTTTTTCTTGATATTCTGATCTTAACCTCAAATTAACATAATTGTTTTTGAGCCAATTATCAAAATTAACAAACTTTAAAAGTGAGCTTTTCAGTTTCACCTTGTAAACGAGTGCCTTGTAAAAGTAATTATAAGAAATCAACAGTTTTCCAATCATTTCTCGTGCAATCTCGATTAATTTAGTTTGAGAATAATTATAAAATATTAATAAAAATAATAACAATAATAATAGATATGTTAACCCACGCCTGTTGTAATCTGTTTATAAAATTCATAAAACTCAGTGATTTTACACCTTAACGAATTTAAATCGTTGGGTGTGAGAGAGTTCTCTATATTGATGAATTTTTCAGTCACAGGCCACAGCAACTAAAACAGGTAATCGAATTTGAAGTGGAACAACACTATGCAGCTTACTTGTACATCTTTGCAAACAGTACTATTTAATTTAGCTTTTATTTTTAGGTAAGGCTACAAAAATATACAGTGACAGGGCTTTTCTTTGAGCTAAAATTATACTCTTATTTTTAATTTAGTCTAAAACAATAACCGCTTTCTCGAACTTATCTTTAACAACATACACTGTACAAGCTTGTTGTTTTTACATTTTAAAAATAAATAAATAACATAATGGCAGCCAAAAAGTGTGGAGTGGTGTGCTATCACCTCTTGTCATGGTTGATGTTGATATCACCCCGGATATAAATCTGAAATTAAAAATGAAAAGCGCTCAATAAAAAGAAGAAAGTATGGTCTTTTGTTTGCATAATAGCATAGAGAAAAGTTACTAATCTATAATTTATCGTTAACTAATAAGGGTGTTAACAATGGAACTATACACTGTAGAAATTCATTGGTTTATATTGAATATCTTCAAACTATTTAGCTCTAATAAATCGACGTGTTCATACATGTTCATACACATGGATAGACGGAGAGATAGACTGACATCCATGACACGACGGACACTTTCATCTGTCTGTTACAAAAATTAACACATACATTGCATAAAAAATATGATAAAATGGCTAAAAGCTAATGCTGCCTCCAATTTCGCATAACCAGCGACAGTAGAAAAACTGGTTTACTCCAAGTTTGAGTGGAGCAATTTGAACGAGTTGAAAATATTTAATTTTCGGTCTCATTTTCTTCATGCGAGGAGCAAAGTGCATTTTAAATGTTAATGGTTGGTAAAAAATGCTTATTTTTCAAAGAATGAAACACCAATAATCGAAAGTTATTTACCAATATAGTGGAAATATAAAACTAATAAAATAAGAGAAAATAAACCTACCTTACAATTACCATTACACAAACAATAAGTCCTCTTGTGGGACTTTCATCTTAAAATGGATTCTTATAAAACAATAAATAAGATTTTTCTCAATAAGTCTGATTGGATGAAGTAAAATCCTCACTTATTTGTTGATTCTTCTTTAGTAAAACTTCCAAACGCATACATCTAAGCATTTTAGCCGAATCTTTTAAATTTTTACTTCCCACATCAAACAATAAAACTGTAATATCAAATATATTTATTTAAATTGTCAAGTCAGATTGTTCTCATTATGGCACACTAGACGTAGCCATATATGATAGAGCTCTTGAATAAATGTGCTGTCGCAGGTTTCGAAATTGATCTAGAGATCAAACCATTAACCAAGACCCAAGCGTTATGAAAATCGGCTAGTTTAATTTAACCTAGTTAAGGGAGTGGGAATTACGACCTATGTGTCTATATAGGATATTTAATAGTTGCCATTTTCACGTGAATTTTAACTAAGATTAATGTTTCCAGATAAGGATGACAAAATAGATGCCAAAATTAGCCAAAAGCGAAACTTTACGAAAATCGATTGACCTATGTCTAATACGAAACGCAGAGCCTTTTTGTCGCTGTTTTACATATTTAAATATAACGAATTTCTATTAAGTGCTCTACTCCTCGATTCTCAAGAAGTCAAGTAGGCTCTGCAGATTTGCACCCTCAGCTAGTAGTGTTGTGCTTTTTTTTTTGTTTTTTTTTGTGTGCTTTTTTTTGGTGTTTTTTTTTTAGTGTTTTTTTTAGTGTTTTTTTTTAGTGTGTTTTTTTTTAATGTTTTTTTTTTAGTGTTTTTTTTTGTGCACATGTACAAACATGTATGAATAAACAGGCCAACATAAGTATGCATACGAAAGACTAAAGCGCAAAATATTTTTGAACCGTAATTACCAACAAGGAAGCTTGGAGTTGTTATGTTTGGTTTCATTACTACCCCAGTTAATCGGAAACTCCAGCAGGTAAGTCCGATAAAAGCTACAGGTAAGACATGTACGTATATATTATCCCCACGTTCCTGCCTATCTTTTCTAAATATAATGTATATAATAAGGCCACAAATCTACAAATATTTCTTAGTCAATCTTCCAACAATGTGGAAAAGGGTTTTTGGTGACTACGCAAAAGACACTCACCACATTTTTTGATGACTCTGCTGCTTAAGGTAGATACAGCAGGCCTTAGTAACAATTCTCAGAACTCGGCGGAACATTGTTGAAATCTGTCTCCTTATGTAGGCCGGTTGTGCTAGCTCCATAGTTCTGTAAATTAAGATCTTGGAAATTCATTTTTTTTTAATACATAACAACTTACTCTGACTATAGATCGCAGAATAAATCATAAAACAACTTACAATATTGGTATTTAGTAGACAAACTTGGCTGTTACCAAACCTATTAGTTCTGGCTTGGATTACCATGATGAACATTTTTTTTTATTGTAAGAGTGTTGGACGAGTTGTAATGGGTTGTTTTGCTAAATATTTTTATAACATTCGAAGCGTTTTCTGAACTCAGGGACTTCACTTGTAGACTTAATACATTTTTGAAGCTAGCGATTGCCAGCTTCGCGGGGAGAATAATTTAACAGCAAGTACAAATTTGTCTGAAGACCACAACATTAATTATAAATAGGAAGATTGCTCTGGTCAACCTAACGAACTTAAATATTATTATATTATGAAATCGTACACAAATACCTTATATGTTTATATAAGTACATTTGCACAATCATATAAAATCCGTAAGGTATTAAACACGCAAATACGTAAATATTAAATAAGAGTGCAATCATTGCATATATTTGTATATCTCCGAAAAGGCTAATATTATCGATTTTTACTGATTTTATGGAAACAAGGCAAGTCTCTAAATTTTAGATTCCTAAGCTCATATTGTCTCTGACATCGGTACGTTAATACGGACGAACAAAGGTGCGGACACTTTGAACACTGTTAAAGCCAATAAATATATATATAGCTTATGGAAAAGGAAAAGGTTATTTTTGCCTGTTACATACAATTGCACAAGGCTATTATATTATTTGTAAATGCAAATACAGAAAATATGTATACCTCTGCAGAGGTGGGATAACAAATTAACTATTATATACCAATCTGGCACAGATACTTTTGAATCTCACAACAAACACCAGAAATTTGTTTAAAACGTCCCAAATTCCATCTTAACTTAAACAAAATTAAAAACACTTTCTGGTCATAGCTTAAAAATATTTTCAAAAACCTAATGCTCTATACATATAGTATATGTTATCTACAAATATAAAACTGATTGTTCTGAAACACAATCTCCGTGATCAACGTACTGTGCAAAAAGTATAAACGTGGAAATACAAAGGAATCTAATAAGAAATAAGGTGTTACGAGTTTATTTCGTGAGTCTAGCGCCCCATTAACGTTTGCTCCCTGCGAGAGTAACATTGGGTAGAGCGTCAGCCGAACGACTAAGGCATATCGCGCTCAGCGCACAAATTCTTCAGTGCTCCAGGAGAGAGAAAACAGATTTAAAGGAAAGTTGACAACCTTATTCACAAAAACCAAACACGTGAAGTGAAGCATCGTTCGCACAACAACTCAGTGGAAGTTTAATCGATCAGCTGATACCAATGTGGAGGATAAGAATGAATGGATCGTGGACGCAGTACCACCTACATTACCCAGAAATAGACGTCGAAACAATCACACCTAGTTTTAGCCACGCCAACTGGTTACACAACTGGTTAACCCACACACTGTGCGGCACGTGTGAAGCCCTCACGACTGACTGTTCGCAATTTGTGGACTATTTCAATATAATTCCAACAACAAACAAAGTTGCCAATAAGTGTGCAGACTTGCAGAATAATTTGCAGGCTGGTTTTAATTGACAATTATCATTCAAAACAAAGTGAAGACGTTCTTTGAATGATGGATAGAAGAATGTGCAAATAAAGGAACAAAAGTATTGTACCTCAGGGAAATAAGTATATGCATACAATTTATTAAAAAATCTGTTGTACTACTCATTAGTAACAAAATTAAAAGAAACTAATTATAATATGTTCATACAAAAAATAATAAATAATAAGACTTAGAAAATAAGTATATGTACATAGTACAGATTATCAATGTATTTTAAAGATAACAATCATTGGGTAAAAGGGGATAATGTATTTGTGCCAAATGTGGGTAACTGGCAAAGGGAAACATGCCCGACCTCGTTAAATATATATATTCTTGATCAGCATCAATAGCCGAGTCGATCTATTGATCTCGTTTATTCGCTGTTGCCCCACAGATGAGGCCCACCTATTAAAGCCAAAGCTTTATTTATGCACAATAAGATAAACTTCTGAAAAGTGCATTAAGATAGAAAAAAGAAACGATCAAAAAATCGGCAAAAGTTATTTTAAATAACGGCATCAAATTCCAAAAATTTCTGTATATGTGTAAAGATATACATTGATGCGCGTGTTTATTAAATTCTCCAAACAGCATTGCAAATGTGATTGTATTGTACTCTCTGCTGTTTGTACGTGCTGCTATTTTGATTCGTTTATTTTTCGTTGAAAATGAATTGTTGGAGTTGGTAGAAAAGGGCTCAGGGTATCCCCTAGTCAGGAACTCAAGACTAGAGCCTCTCATCTGTTTTATTAGTTCATATATTCGCCCTTGGCGAATATGACCTTATTTGGTCTTGTAGGCTCGGTGCTGACAAGCGTTTTAGGGGTCTATTTGATCCCTCTCTTTCAAACAACACTGTTGGAAAGTAGCATATTAATTTTTCTGGCAGTGTGATTTGGCACGCTGTTTTGCTGAAAGATTCCATCATCCCTGAACAAGTTACCCGCAAACTCAATCAGCTCAGTATCCAAGAATTCTATATCCAACATATCCAAAAGCTGACCAAATCATCAGTGAACTGCCAACAATGAAGTTTATCTTAAATCTGGATCTAGATCATCCAATTATTCATTCAAAAAAAGTATATTCAATCGGGAAGCGTTTTTGTTTTTCATTAAAACTGGATTACCTCCATACAAGACATGCCCTTTTCAACCACAAGTCGCCAAAATTTCAAGTCTCTAGTGTTCTAGATTCTAAGATCACCGCGTTGCATGCATACGGACAGACGTACATGGATAGATCGACTGGGCTTTTGATGCTAAACAAGAATAAATATACTTAATAAGGTCAGGGATGCTTCATTCTGCTTGTTACCTAAATTTGCACAAGCCCTTTATTTCAAATATAAAAATCTTGATTGGGAAAATCCAGGCAAGCCTCGCACTAGGAGCTGGGCAGAATACGTGACGGGAGGTTGCGGATAGTACTGTAACTTACTTACTATGAACTCCCCAAACGCAGTGATTTTTGCATAAGAGCTCGAGATTTGATATTTTTAACTTAGGTCCAAGTTTTTAATCGCCAATGGATTGGCACATATAGATGAAATCGATTAAAATAGATAACGATTTTTTTTTTTGAGCATATCGTGGAGCTTATAAGAACTAGTTACACCCAATTTTGAATAAAAGCCAGTCGAACGTTGGCTGTACAAACACTGACTGACTGATTGGAGGTCGGTCACCCGTTAAAAAAATTTAATAAGCAGTAAGGAAATCTATCTTAATAAAAATATAATTATTTTATATACATTACTCTTTGAGTAGGAGCTAGATAAAATTATTTGTAATTGCTATTGGTTTAAAGCAAAATGTTTGCCTTTTTTTGTTGTTTCCGATATTGATAAATTGGGTACAAGGTAAACTAAAAGTAATGATTGTAATTTTGGTGTTAGTAGGTGAACAGTTGACTCACCGGATTCCCAATCTTCATCTCCTTCTTCACCAGTTTGATTCAAGTCAGAAGATGATCGTTTGCAATTATTGTATGACTTCTGCTCGAAGATCTTATCCCCGCCAGAAAGGTTGGAAATATTACATCGATCAAATATACGTCGACTATCAGAGGTTTTTTCATACATTTTATTGTGATGCCTCCTTATTGGCACTTTATCGAATGGTATAGCGGACGGTTGATTAAAAATATGCAGCTTTTTGTTGTCCTTGCCTGACGAAGTATTACTAACGCTTAATGGGCATTTTGATGAAGACTGTTTTCGTTTAGATGTCAACGCAGGAAGTTTTGAGATAGTTGATTTTTTGTGTTGATTTTTAGTCTAACAAAAATACGTTTATATCTTTAGATATTTTTTTTCTAACACATTACACTTACAAGTTTTCTGTTATGTTCTATTAGGTGCGATTTTGTTTCACCTATTTCATCACTGGTATGAAATGGACCTTCGAACAAACGACTTGAGGACGGAGAGTTTATATCAGAACCCTCACTGTTCAGATTCTTATCATTATCACCAGGAAAAAAATCCGAGCTTCGATTATGGCTCCAATTATTTTCTGCAGACGGTTCAGCGTTTATACTGTCGAAGCATTTTTTTTCTTTTATAAATACAAGAGAGATCTGCAAGTACCAAAAAGAAAGTCAAGTTTATATTTTGTTATATATGTTTATACCAGCGGGTATTATCCGGCCATGCTATTGGCAAATGAGATTGAAACAGATCCGATGATAAACAAAAAAAAGACTATTTAGGACTTGAAATTATATATAAAACGGATCAGACGACACTTAAAGGTTCCACTTAAAAATCGTTGAACCGCAATTTCCACTGAGCAGGTCTAAACATTGCGAAATTTTCTTATGGATCTTTTTTTTGTTACGAGTAAATAGTGTTTAGTGTTTACCTTAAAATCCTCCGAAAACGATTTATGATCTTTGTCTTTATGTGCACCATCAATTTCAGATTTAATTAAGGTATGCGTAAATTTATCGGTGTTTTCATCGGTGCTGCTAGCTAAAAAATACAATATCAAGAAAACATTTAAAGCTTGTCACCACAGAATTGAAAAATCCATCCCACTTATGTTTAAAACTTATGTGCTAAAAAAAAATATAAATATAAATTCATACATACCCGCATTATTTTGCAAAAAGAATGTATTAACCCAGAAGTGGCAAATCATCTTCCTTGATGATTTTTGAGTAAGTTCGACTTTAATATCACCAGAAACTGTTAGGGGTGAATTACTTATATCCAATATAAAAGTTTTTTGAAAATCAATTGTCCAAGTTTTCAGTTCCTAGGTAAAAGAAGAAATAATATTCAATGAATCATAATACATGTACTTACTACATAAAACGAAAACAAAACGTGCAGAAACTGGTACTCATAATGTTTAAATAGATGTCCTGGGTAGATAAATGCGCTTCTATTTATTAACCTACCTATAGAAATTTCTGAAATTTTCTTAACAAAGCTGAAACTCTTAAATTTATTTATAATCGCTCCTTATGTTTGTGAAATAAGTTGAAAAGCACGTTAGGGCACTTGCAACAATCGATTAAGGATCCGAATATGTTGTATACCATAGATAACAGTTAACAACTGATAGACGTGAGCCTTCCAGAGATTAGTCACTTCAAAAAAGGAATCAGAAATTTTCAAGTATAAATTTTTCACACTGGAACACAAAGTATCGAATATACTTGCATTCTCGTTAAGTATACAGAGCTGCGTCTCCGCGGTAAACAACCAATTGCAAGAAAGCTGTACCCCAAACCATAACGCCATATAAGGAAAGTGTTCTCTTGGTATAGTACGACTACTCTGCGAGCGAAATTGGATTTTACATAAGCTGTACAATGTGTCTGTGAAGGTGAGCCTTCCTCCCAATAGGCCGATATGGTTTACTTTTAGTAGCTGTTCTAGAGGCTGCTCCAGAGAATTGCCGAGGTCGTTGCGTGTAGATAGTTTCCAGGTATAGTCGTCATACCTATTTGGGCTGCCTGTTGGAAGTATTTATGCTTATTTTGGTATTGCAACAGTATCTTGCCGTATTCTTGCATTTTTGACAGGTGGGACAATAAGTCAGCTACTGTTTCTTGCGAGTTCTCTTAAAGGAACATCATTGCCCGGCCAATAAACTAAAATTCAGACAACATATTAATTGCAATGTCGGGTCTCTGAGTTGTTGTGCTTATTCTTCTATTGGCCCCAGATTATTCGAGTAAATTGCGATCTTGATTAACTTCATAGTTCCATCTATCTCCCGATATATAGTCAAACAACCTAATCGGAAATTCGATATTTGCAACAAAGAGGAGGAGAGACGGACATGACTAGTTTGATAAACGGATAAACGAAAAGGTCTCTAAAACTGGGCAATTTGCTTCTTTACTTATTCAAGTCCAGAGTAAAAAGGTAGTTTATTCCAAACAAAAGCATAGAAACAAACGTATACATGGACTCGTTTACGTAGCCACGAACCCAAAGAAAGTATTTGCTTGATAGTATTAATTGTGTTTTTTTTAATATAATTTCACATTCAAAACCCAAACATGTTAGATTGTTTTGACAAATGTGTATACTTACATGCGCCTTAAGTTTGTCTGTTGAAGAGTCTTGCCTGTCAGAAATTGAACATTGCACTGTACCAAGATTATGCAAGTAATTTGTCTCGGTAAAACGGATTTCACAAATCTTTAAAAAATGAAAGAAAAAAATTATATGAGGGAATCTTACAGACAAATTGAAATGCATACTTACATAAAGACTTATTACTTCATATCGTACACCTGGGATTAAATTTGAATAATACTGAACATATCTACGTTGAGATGGAATTGTAACTCCTTTCCGGTCTTTTGTACGTTTTTCGTCATAATAGGCCAACGCATCATCCGCTGTTTTCTTCAATTTACTATGGACCAAATATGCACATATCATTGTACCTGTTGAATATAAATTTTCAAAAATAAAGAACTTTATTTTTGTTAAGTACCTAAGAAATATGGAAATCCACATTAAAGATGGTGCTAACTTTTTAGGTCTTCTTCAATACTCAAATTAGACTTCGAATCGATGGCTTTGATTTGGATAATATCGTTAAGATTAAGAAACATATAACCAACATGTAATACATTTAAAGTCAGCTGAAAACGCTTAAAACGTTTATTGACAGGGGTTGCAAGAGTCGAAAATACTCGATTAGAATATACCCTACTACTTCATTTATCTTGCATATTCCGACTAAAGGTATATGCATATACAATTATGTTGTTGGACATTGTAAATACAAACATAAACTAGCCAATTCACGTGTAACATATGGCAATGGCAACTACAGCCTTTGCACACGTGATAATAGGAGTGAGTGATGAACATTGCACAGTTTAAACGGCAAGGAGGTAAACAGAAGTTGCACCTTTGGTCAAACTGCGCTCTAAGACAGCTTTAAAAAAAACTAGACCTCAAAAAGTACAGTATTCAAACTAACATTCGTTAGTTCTTTTGTGAACCGAGTTTATAAAAAATTCAAAAGTAATACTGTAATATAAAAATACAGTTTTGCTTACCGGTTCTTCCTTTTCCAGCTTTGCAATGCACGGCTACGACATTTAACGGGTCTCTGTTAAGCCAGGAGTCAACGTCATGACAGAAACGTTGTATCAGCTCAATGGTAGGAGGGTTATGATCCTCAAATGGGTATGTTGCAACTCTCTAGAAATGTAAATTTGTATGCAAACTTTGACAATATTATATTTTTTATATCTAACCCTGTGAAATTTATTAATGTCGTAGCTCCGTTCTTGACATAAATTATATATTCTGTAATGATCTCCGTGATTTTCCTCCAGAAATTTATAAACATCATCTAGGCGATTTCGGTAAATGCCTTCGAATATGTCTGGCGCAGGATACCCCATCGCAATAATATTAGGGCATATATCTAAAATAAGAGGAATAAAACACATTGGTAATCATATCCTAAATTTTGCCCATGTGTATTAGTATTTTTTAGGGTACCATTTTCATATGAATTTTGACCAAGAATAACGTTGCCAGATATAGATTCCAAGCTGGTTAAGTGGTCATACCAAAAATTCAAACCTTGTGGAAGTCGGTTGAGTTTTGACCAAGTTATGGGAAGTGATATTTTTACCTTTATCTATATAAGATATATTTCAATGGGTTCAGGATATAAAAACATTGTTTTTCTTTAGTCATGCCATTAAAAAATATATTTTGAGCTATTTAAAAAAAAAAAAGCTCGATTTAATCTTCATTCAAAATTCTGTCTAGCTCGATCCCATTATAAAGAAAGTTACACCTTTGTCGCCATATGTCCACAGTTGCGGGTGAAATCGCAGAAACCACTGTGACACGCATTCATTTAGTCTTTATGTAGTTCTCGGAAAATAAGTTACACAAAGGTATATGTCATTTTCATTGTGATGATCCGTCTTCAGTACAGTGCTAACAGTACAGTGCTAACAATGGAAAGATCCACTGTGTTCCACAGTGTTCAGGAGTGGCCCAAAGTAACAGCTCTGTGGCACACCAGACTGACTGCAGCGAAATTCCGATAGGGATTGTCTGACCACTACGCTTGGACTGCCAGGAACAGTGCTAGCCCCCTCCAGAGCTTTTCGGGGAACACCGATATAAGCTTATTAAAGCTCACGCTTTTCCGAGGCAGTCATCAACATGATGTAGGCAACAAGAACGGTGGCGAGACGGTAGATACACCGACCGGATGATAACAGCAGCACCATCGCGGAGACGGGCACTTAGGTAGTTGATTTTCCAACTTCGGGGTATTACAAATGAAGCTCATTAGACATCGCTGATAACGACGTCGGGATATATTGTATTGGTACGCTGACTTTCAGCTAATTTAGCCAAGAAGTTTGTGTTGGCCAGCCTGTTAATCCAATGACGGATCAGCAGATAAGATGTCATTGGGAGCGCCTGAGATGTCAGTCAAGCATTACGAGCTGAGACAACAGAGAAATCTGACTTCCCTTGAAGTTGAGTCTCCAGCAAAGCAAACACCATCGCATCATGAGCTCCAGATAAGCAGAACTTTTGAACCAACTGCACCGTTAGCTCCGTTGTACCGATATAACGGTTTATTAGCCTCCTGTCGGCGGTTGGGAGGCTTGGCTGCTATATCGCTATAGCGGGTGATCTATTCAAAGTACGACTTTGCACAGAATGGCAGGAGCTCCGTTTTACGTCCTAAAAAGCTAATTCCATAGGGAGATCCTTTAGGTCAACGACCATATCCAAGGAATATTTTCTTAGAGATCAGAGTGTACTTCTCTGATTCAAAACGAATTTTCAGAAGCTTGTATTAATATCCATTCAGAAAGCCAAGCAGCACATTCCTTTTGGTAGATGTAAGTGAATTCTCAAAAAAAAAAACCTATGTGATCGATTAATTACAAGATAAAATAGAATATCCGATAGACCCACCAGGCATTATTATTAATATATAGGGTAATATATGGAAAACGTTTATATTAAATAGTTTTAGGTATTTTTATGGAATCTCTTAAAATGATGCTGTTTAATATGGTTTGCATATTGTTAACCATTAATAATATATAAATAATATTGCGAAAGTAGTTCTTACACGAAAGATCCAAATTAAATCCTTTTTCCTTGTAGCGTCTGCGTTTTTTGCTCACAACATTTCGTAACGCATTGGACATTATAGATATTGTGTTTGCCATATTGGTCTCCAAATATGATGATTGTTGTCTTTTATTAATTATAATTTGTTTTTTATTATAACTATATGCTTCAATTTCTGTTTCATTATTAATATGTCCCGTCATATCAATATATTTATTACAAGCGTTCCTGAATAAACCATTTTTGTTGAGAACATGCAACACCTGCAAAGATTATAAAAATTGTTAGAGTATTACCAACATAAACTAATTTACATTTTCTATAAATATGGAAGTTACTAATGCACAATCAACTACAATACGAAGCTAAAGTTTTCTCAAGTCAATAGGGCTATGGATGGGCATACACTAAAACAGCCTTGTAAAAATACACCCACTCAAGCACACACGTTGCACGCAGCCGTGCTCCTTCTTCCAACTGCTCACTGTATGGATGATAAATTTCTCAGTTACAACTTATTATTATCTTTATGAAATCTCTCTTTTTTAGACCCTTTTTTTAAACGTTCGTACATGCACTACCGCAAATCTACACTGATTTAAACTATATATATATATATATATAATAATAATATATATATACATGATCAATATAAATATAACTTTAATCACTAACCACTAACCATATATCAATTATAATCCAAACAAGTAAGAGGTCCTAGTCGGGAGCTCCAGACTAGGGGATACCCTGAACCAAGTCAAGTTTGGTGACTCTAGCTCTTATTATTTACCAAAATTGCCAAAAAAAACAGGATATCGATATCGTACTTTATCGATTGCTTGGAAACGGAGTGCGTTATCGATTATCGGAAAACAAACTCGATCTGCACAGGCACTAGGAGCACCTACATTTACAATTTCAAGTATCCAGCTCTTATAGGTTCTGAGATCCTTGCGTTCATACATACGGACAGATGGACAGACGGACTGACGGAGGGAAGGACCGACAGACAGACGGACATGGCTAGATCGACTCGGCTATTGGTGCTGATCAAGAATATATATAGTTTATGGGGACGGAGATGCTTCCTTCTGCCTGTTACATACATTTGGATTTTGCACAAATACATAATACCCGTATACCCATTTTTAATGGGTTCAGGGTATAAAAATAATGAGAATTAATAAAAATAATAACTAATAATTCAATTTAAGTAAATTTTGTATTAGCATTGATTCTCATCCAAGTAAACCGCAGTGGCAGTCTGCAAAAATAAAAGTTATTAGATAAGGTGCGCTAGGGGATACACATGTATTATTTCTTCATCTGCCCTTACAATAAAAAGTATTTAAGGTAAAATTGTATTGTCATAGAGCATGGATTAAGGAAAAGTATTAAGCGTCGATCATAAGTAACACAATTTTCCGCTCAATGTAGTCGAAAAAAAAAAAAAAACTTTGAGCACCATCGACCAGCTTTGCTGAAGTCTGGCGTCTGATTTTGTTGCTCGTGTCAACATCAACACGTTGCAACTTCCCCATTCGTTTACCTAAAGAGCGAAAAACCAAGCTAGAATTTTTGCAACCAAATGTCCGCGCGTTCTCTTTCTTCTAGTGATGAGTTCGCCGAGCAAGTTTGAAAATGGATTTCTCTTACTCCAGCCTTAATAAGTATATGGACTGGTGTTCCCCGTCATTGCTCTGTTATTGTTTCTTGCCTAACGAATTATTCGCGGGGCATCTGCAAAATCGCAGGAACACGTTTTGGAGGTTTAAGCTGTCTTTGTGACTGAGAATGCGTCTTACTTAGTCTGTTGTGCCCGGCAATTCAAGTTAACCATTATTAGAAACAATTTCGTACTGCGCGGGTGGATCTTAGGAGGACCTACGTTGAACATCAAGTCCATAGCTCTTAAAGGTTCTGAGATGGGCGCGTTAGTACGAATATTACTGGATCAACTAAGCTGTTGATGCTGACTAAGAATATACGGACTTTATGTTGTCGGAATTCTTTATTGTGCCTGCATGTATATTAGCGGATGTCACTAACGTTCCAGCATACACAAAAGATTTTCGTCAAGGTGCGCGAGATTTGCAGAAGTCATCCCCTACGCGGCATTTCTGCTAATCTCGGGGTGCACTTGTTTCTGAAGTCATATTTAATATTTAAACGATCCACTGACAGATTGTACGGTGGAGCGACTGCGACATACATTTTTCGCAATTTCTGAATAAGTTTTCCGTTGTTTGAACTGCATAATAAAAATAGGCCGCCGTTCCTCCACGCAGTTTGGACCAATATATGCTGTCGAACTTATCAAAAATGCTCCATTCTACAAACCTACGCCAAAAATGCCAATGTATACATTCGAAAACCACCGTTGCACTTTTTGGCATTTCGCATGCAGCTAGGATAATAGGAAGAAGAAGAAGCCAAAGAATATTTTAGTGTCTGTACGAAGACATTATTGGTAGGATGCATATTGTGGGTATGCGAAATCGAAGCGTATCACCGATCTTAAATTATCGATTAAAAGGATACCAAAAGGGTTCATATAAACTAGTCAAATTGTTAACACTTTTTAGTAGCTACTAAGATTTAATTGCACATTAAACAATTTTTTGAGCTCAGCTCTATAAACAAAATTAATCGTTCGGAAAGTGAAATTATTTGCTATTCAAAGTAGCGCCACTGGATTTAAGCCTAGGTATACGATTTTGAACAATTCTTGAAGGTTTTTTGAACGAACTATATATGCATTTGGTAACATACATATATTAACTTGCATGTTCATTTGCATTTAGCTATCAGAACACATATGTATGTACACACTTATGTGTGTGCCTATGTATACATTGTTCATTTTAAACAAGAGATTAAGGAGATTCTGCGAAACTTGTAAAATACTTACATATAACAAATTATGGTTCTTTGATGTGCACTACAAAACAATCCATATACATAGCCTCATAATGTACATAAGACACTTGTATGTGTAGCATAAATACATATGTATAGATATATATATGTACATATATATTTATATGTATATATATGTAAATACGCAACACTCACACACTTTTAGAAATACATGCAAGTACATATACCAGCAGTCTCAAAATTATGACAATTCTAAGGGAATAGCAAGTATGTAAGAGAAAAACAAACTACAAAAGTCGTCACCAACAAATAGTTAGAATGTCAAAGCAAATATAGACAATAAGTTCAACTCTTTCTTGCATATAAACTTCATATGTTTAATTTGAATTGATGTATGTACATACATGTAACACACTACAACTCCTTTTTATCGCCTTCAGAAGATTTAACACTGATTTTATTCAATTTTGGGCTGTTTTCATTGCTATTAATATTTGAGTTAAAGATGTCAACATTTTTGTTATGGAATTTAAACTTTGTTTTTTATCGCTCATATATACATATATCACCAGATAATCACAAATAACGAATTTGACATTATTAGCTTACGATCATAAAATATAATAAAAAACCTAAAGAATAGCCCATGCACTTTTAAGTAAATTCTCGAGTTGTCTGTCAATAATAATGTCTAACATGAACTGCACAGGGTGATTCAGTCAACTTTTAATGGTACTGAGTTGTATCGAATCGTTCTGAATAAGTTCAAATGAACTACTTATTAATCTGAACGAATGAAGGTCCAGTCTATCGTTAATCGTTCGTGAGTCCTGTTATCATTCGTCTTGTACCTTCGAGTCGCAACATTATTCGCTAAACCATTCTCATTCGTTTTGATCGTTTGAGCCGTAAAATCGTTTTAATGATGTAGTATTTAAATGTAATATTTATTATTATTTTTTTCGGAAGTGAACCTTCATTTTTGATCATTACTCGAGCATCTCATAACCGATAAAAGAACTTTACGCGTCTTTAATTTTTAGAAATTTTATTTAAAAATACTTAGTTTTTCAACTAAATTCTTTCGCGAATTTTTATACTTCGTATATTTGGGAACTGGTTATTACCTCTCAATAATTTCACGTTCGATCATGTTATCGAATTTGACTCGGTTAAGCGGAATGTGGAACATTCGCATGTTCCGAACCAAAAATATGTCCACGTTTCGGCGACTGGAGAATTTGGGCTCTACCACGAACTAAAATAATGTTGTCACCCCTTTAGTGGACAACGACGCTTCTTAAACTCAAAATTGAGAGTATTATTTATGAAAGCTTGCTTATTAGCACACGTTTTCAACGCAAAATAATATCTATGGGAATTTTGATCAAACGAACTGCAAGTAATTGAATTTTGGTGCTAGATGCAGGAGTAAACGCTAAATATAATTGTCTATCACATTTTCGTCAGCACGGCTTAAGTCGCGTAAATAGACCTAATTGCAGTTTAGATGGTTTTGTTATTAAATTAACAGGGACAGAGAATTTCTATTGTAAATACTCTCTTTAGAATTATATGGATAGTATTATTAGCAGTAGTAAAAGGGGGTCTCATCCGAACAACCCACCCATGTGCTAGGCATCTTGAGTTTGTATTAAGAAGGTTGGGTGAATGTGGGTGCCGGGAATTGGCTCTCTGGAAAAGCTATTTCTCTGGCAAACGTGCGTGTACTATAGGGAGGTGTGAATGTGGGTGGAGATGTGATTTATGACTGCCCGCTGGGTTTTATCTGTGACCCTTTCACGTGGGACCTTGCTGGGGCAGCTCTAGCAAACGAAGTGCTCGGGCCGATCCCGTCTTGAGATTGAGAGGAATATGGGTATGGGAAAGTGTTGGGATCAGTCCGGCAATAAACAAGACGGTGTCAATGCTAATAAAGGGGAGATCGACCACCCATTGTCAGACTGAATGTAGTGAATGTGTGGTATGCAAATGAGTTGAAATACCTTAGCATAACCTTCGGCGAGAGGATGTGTTTCACTCCTCATGTCATATGGCTGCAGCGACATGGGAGCATGTACTCTGTCAGTGTTCAAGGTAAGCCAATCTTCGAGATCTTTGGGATATGGTCGGATGTGGAGGTTAGTGTCTAGCGATAGGATTAGAAGAATTAATGAGTTTGCTATAACTTCAATTTCTAGGCGACGTTGGCAATTAGAGGAAGGTATTGTGTGTATGATGATGGATAGTAGAGAAACAAATGCGAATGAGGGGTACCAACATAGGGAGGAATGAGCACTTCATTGAACATTATGTTTGTGCGGGACTACCAGTCCTCAGCTTCATGGGAGTAAATCTGAAAGTATCATTTTAGGCTACGAGTTCTGAGCAGAGGACTGATCTGGTACCACAGGCGTTAGCGAACTCAGACGCGATCTCGGCCCTCTGTTCCCTCTGCCATAGTCTGGTGGGACTTGTTGGGGGCACTAGCTGGCCGTCTAGCGGTTTAATATATGATCAACTAGTAAATGCCGTCGTACGGAAGAGGAAGGAATAGACCTTGCTCTTTAAAGTGAAAAAACCATGTTTATGAACATAGACATTTCGTCAGTGTTTTACCTTTTGGGGTAACCAGCCCTTAACCTTTTTGTTATACAACCGGGAGTTATACAACCGGGAGCCGCCATCCACGGAACAGAAGAGGTTTGAAAGGGACCTCGTGCAAATCCAAGTTAGAGGACACAAACAAAAAGTCGTGTTTTTAATTGGCGCCTGCGGAATTGATGTTCCACGGGTGATTGACGCTGGCTGATGCTTAAATTAATCCTATAATAGAAACTATTGGAATGAGGTAGAATCCTCAGTACAATGCATACGATTATTCTCTGGTTGACTCATTTAGTTCGTTAATAGCAATAGCATCTCGATTGTTTGACCCGGTAGCATTGTTGTGTCCGAATCAACCGCCGAATCGATATAGCCATGTCCGTCGGTCTGTTTATATGCAAATTAAATTTTTTTATCAAGATACCTTGACCAAACGAAGATCTTATTAGTTTTGCTATGCTCCTCGCATATAGGTTAACATAAGACAAAAATAAGAGTTTAAATTGGACACTGATCCCTATGAAACAATGTAATTGTAATTTGCTGAAGCATATGGGAGATGCACGAGGCGCAAGCTCATTATTAAACTGGCGGACATCCGACTAGGGCTAGCTTCTGATAGTCCAATATTTGTTGACGCCGTCAGTGCAGTCAAATATAATAAAGTTGCTAATATTTGGCAAATAAACTCGCCCACAGTCCGGTGATGACTCATGTTTATGCAAAGCCTTGTCAACATCGAACCGCTGTCAATGTGAACGATCGGTCGAAAAGTAGATACATGTAAGAAAAACTATTTTGCTTTTCAGGATATCTTGAATAAACTCGGAGTTTATTAGCTTTATTATGCCCCTATATATATATATGCATAAGTGAAAAATTCTAACATCGGAACACAGTATTGCTGCTAATTGCTTATATCAAAAACGTTTTTTTTTACCAATATATCTTGACCTGACAAACTATTCTACTAGGCTGCATATATATATATATATATATATATATATATATTATAATAGCTAGACTATTCTCACATAACTGCAGAACCGCAAGGCAAATGTTTGCAAGGGTATTAAATCCTTTAGATAATCTAAGTTCTCATTTTAAATTTATGTGCACGAATGATAATATAAAAAAAATATATAAGTTCTATATACTATACTCTGCGTACGTAAGTATGAAATATGGATTTGACTTTATTAGATTTTCGTATTCTAGGCGTTCAAAAACTTATTCCATATTGATTTTTCTTTTTAAGTATATGTAACTTAATTATTTTTTTATAGTTGGCTAATTTAATTCTTAAATTTGAATATATAAAAATTTACTTTGATGCAATTTGTATGTTAAATAAATAGTATTCGAATATTTTTCCAAAAGCTGATCTCCTAGCATAGAAGTAAGTTTTAATAGAATGCATTCCTTATTGATTATAAACCAAATCTTAAAAATTGTTTTTAAAATATGTATGTACATATTAGCAATGATTTCATTTGGTAGCTGGGTCGTATCAGACGTTTAATATTGTTCTATTAACAGCTGCAAATTGAATGGTTGGGTTTTAGAATCGATGATTGCCCACTGGTGACCGAGATCTGAAGCGTCCACCACCTTGTCCTCCTCCATTCCGGCCATAGCTGGATCCACTAGATCCACCACCGTAACGGCTGCTTTCCCTTGCGCCATTATAGACATCGCGACGACTGAATCCGTTAGTACTTCCGTCCCTGGCACCGCCATAGCTGGCGCTTGAGCGACCGGAACTGTAACTGCGATCGAAATTGCGACTACTGGAGCTACTGGAGCCTCGCTGTTGTCTGAATCCGCCGCTGCTACTGCTGTTTGTTATGCTATGTCTGCCGACATCGCTGCGGCGTCCTCTGTCGCCAGGTCCACCTCGCCTGCCTTGCCGAGGTCGACCCTTCGAAATTTCCACGCGCAATTGAGAGCCCAACAGTTCTGAACCATTTAAAATGTCGCATGCCTTTTCGGCATCATCACGATGCTCGAATTCAACAAAGGCAAATCCGGGCGGATTGAATGCAATCCATACTGAATTCAGTTTTCCATACTTTGTAAATTCGCCTTCCAAATCGTCCTTCTTAACTTTATCAGTTAAATTACCGACATAAACTCTAGTCCCCCGTTGATCAGTCATTTTGTATAAACAATGATATCTTTCTTTGTACAGATAATTATAAATCAATATTTTCTGTACTACACTTTAGATCGCTTTTTGTATGTACATCAAGAATTCTCATTCAGGGTGACCATATCTTATTAGCTATTTTTACCGTATAAACTAGTGCAACCAAATTAATTCGAGTATTTCAATAACATTTCTTCAACAACTTTTCTGTCAGGCTACCCTCCTTTTGGAACGGTGGAATGAACAAATTTTCTCTCATATCTATTATTGTGGCAGGACACAATCTTAGTATTGACATTATTTATTTTGATTTGTGCACATTTATGTTCAGCGAATGAACTTAAGGGATAAACTTGAAGCCCGTTTATCTCGACTAGCTTGACTCTTGTAGTTCATCCTAAATTAATTAATCAAAATTCTGCGCAAGACATGATATCATTATATCAATTGTTGCTATATCACTCGTTGCATCGGGTATTTTTTTAGTACAATAATATATTTGTTGAGTATTTGAATATTATCGGCAGAGAAGATGGATTCAATATTTATCAATGACTCCATAGATCCTTAGGTTAGTCAGAGAACCGCCCTCAAAGAGCCGGATGGGAAGCCCAAGTTAGCAATAAAAATGTTCGAGTACAAACGAGAACAAAAAACCCTTACTTATATATACATATATGTAAATACTAAGCCTCTTTCTTCACCACCGAGATTTTCAGTCGAGGCAAAGTATTGTCACAAGCCTTCTTGAAGCCAACATCTGAGTGGCTCAAAAAAGGAGCAATCTTCCAGGACAAGCGTTTAGCATGAATACAATTTCTCAATTAATAAATATGACTAGTCCATTCCAATCTCATATATTGACATGAAGGTTCACATATATTTGACTACACAGAAGATGTTAAGAAAGGCACTCACCCCTTTTCATTATATTGGTGCTTTTCCAGTCAGTATTATTTGTTTTTTCACTGCAAACGGCGGCAGTTTCGCCACTCTTGCGCAGCATAGCGATTGACTTGCTGCAAAAAGCAGTTCGAACGCAATAGTTCTCGCTGGTTCTTAATGAGTCAGTTATTTTTGACGAGCCCTGAACAGGATCCCGACTTCCACGAGTGGTGTGGGGATTTGCTTGCACCTCAAATAGGGGGCTATATCATTACCCGATATCAGAAGGGACCTATTTAGAAAAATTTGTAGTTCTGCCAAAGCAGTTTCGAGTCTGGTTCCCTCATGCTAGAAGAGTCTCCCCGGGGGAACAGCTTCATTCTAAGCGAACTTAAAGCAAAGAAAATTGCGTCCGACCCATTCAGTTGCAATATTAATGAGCGGAACTCCACACAACTGGCCATCCGACTGTATAATGGAACAGTTTACTCTGAATAAGTGCTCTTCCGTTATTTTGACGCGCCTGGGACTTATTGTTCAAGCGTGTCCTAGGCTTCGGTGGGGGTGCTTTGGCAACTTTCAGCTCTCTGATCTGACGAAGTAATATGTCAGAGAAAGCTTACAATATCTTCTCTATGTACATCAGCTTTACAAAGACGCTTTGGAAATTCAGGTGCAGCTACGAAGCTGACTTTTGTGAGTCATGAATTCTGGGAAAACCTGTATGCCTGACTCGGGTTTACTGTCCTTGGCAAACACCTCGACCAGTTCTGCGGAAATTGAGCAATGATCCAGTGGTCGTTGCCTTTGTGGGGCCCTCTTCTGCGGAACCAACATCTTCAATTGAGAGGGTAGGAGACTGCAGTCCTACAGCTCTTATAGACATGTTGGGAGATTTCGTCAAGTCAGTACGTTAGGAAGTAGTATTGCGACTATTTGCGACATATTTCGAATTTTGAAAAACAAATATTTCAGATCTCACATTTCTTTGCTAAATAATTGTAAATAAAAAATAAATAAGTAAAAAAATGTCTCTTCCGTCTTCTCATAAAAATGAATTGACCACCAATCTGTTAAAATGATTGAGCCTTTCTTTTGTGAAAAAGACAAGAACGAATGCTTGAACCAAAATTAGGTCTACAGAGCTGGAAAGCTGGGCAACCAAACCGTACCGTCAAATAAAGCATTGGTTTGATTCGTGATTCGAACCGGCGACTAACTTTGTTGGTTCGCGACCCTGTTTGACAATGTAAATACCGTTTGAATCAGTCGAAGTCATCATCATTAATAAAATGGAGACTTAGATTATAACTTCAAAGCAATGATTTCAAAATAGTGACCTTGCGAAATATAATTTTTTAATAATTTTGTATCATATCACATCTGCAATTTGTCAGCAAAATCACAGTATATATCAAGTCTGTGGGTTTAATAGCTACTTTTACATCCGTTTTACCCGACTTCCCAATCTTTTTCCTAGCTTTGCACGTGCTGGCGAATGCCTTTCAGTATTAACCAGAGTATAGAGCTAGGGCTGTAGACTGTAAAATGTGCGATGCACAGATTTTACGCGCCGTTTGCTGGTTATGGGATAAAGTAGGAATATTTGCTTTTAAAATATAGCAGAACCCATAATAATAGGCTGCAAATAAATTATATAACAATTGAACATTTTTTATTTTATATCAGCAACATGACTTACACTATTTAATTTGAATAAGAAACTACTTAAGCATATACAGAATATATTTACTGCTAGATTAATAATCAGAGATTGTAATATGGAGAGAAGACGGTTAATTTGCTTGATTTTATTACCTACAAAAGCACCTGTGAACAAAAGTGCAACAGGTAATATTAAGGCAAGAATGTTATTTTGTGGGCTCTGATGCCCTTTCAGATAAAATATTTCAATTAATATACATAAGAAAACTGGAACAAATAGAGAATTTTTAACATAATGTGACAAAATATATCCTAAAATTGAAGCTATAAAAATATGGACCCTGCCTGTTACAAATTTATTTGGGACATCCGCGTTACACGTAGAAAAGTTCGTTGTTGAATAGAAAATTCTATCTTGTTGGGCAAATGTATTTATGAAAGGAACGCTTGGCTCTACTTCAGGATCTGAGTAATCCAATTCTTCGGTTGCTGGAGAATCTGTAATACAATTAACGAGGAATATTTTATTATTATTACATTTTAATATATGTTAAGGTTGTTCTTAGCGCTTTAACATCTGAATAGCAAATAACTTATTTTTGGTAAAGTGCTTTGGTCGGAAGAGTTTCGGTCTTAGTGGAAAGATTTTCGTTAACTAATAGAAACTTCAGAACGGTTCAACGTGCAATTAAACAGCATAAATTAGTAGCAACCCTCTCATAGTCCCTCGTCCATTTTCGCGGCCCATTCAGAGTCGTTTAACCACCCGACTAGGAGAGGAGCAGCTCCAGTATATATTCCAGCTTCGTTGTCCAATTGTTTTTGTCCAAAATAGAACATGCCCTAGTTCTTATAGTCTCTGAGATGGAAGCGTTGTTACATACGGATATGCAGACATAGCTAGGCCATTGCTCCTTCCGCCTGTTATGCGCACAAAAAACCATTATAAACCTTTCCAATTCCACTTAATAGTGGACCACAACTTTGTACACCCTGTATCCATTGCAAATCGATAAAAATGGCATATGTAATAGGTATATGTAGGTAGAACGGAGCATTTCAGACCTTATAAGTTATATATAATTTAACTCAGTAACAACAGCTCAATATATATAAGAGTTAGACTTAAAATTTTGAGCGTAGGTCTTACTGGATATTATCGATAACTTCTCCTGGTGGTTATCGATAACTTGACCTTAACCTGGTTTGCCCTACCTACATATATCGACATGACTATTAATGCTGACCAAGATTATACACACTTTATGGAGCCGGAATGCATACTTCTCTCTATTACATACCCAAAAATAAATTACCCATCAGGCAATATTCTTAACGAACCTCGAACACGTTTAATTAGTTCAAAGATTGAGAAATTATTGTCGTAAAAAACATGCACTAATTGTCACGTCAAATTTGTACCTTAAGGATTATATTTCCATTTAACATAACATAAACATGTGACTAGTATGTTATGCATCATATACAAAGAAACATACGGATATTATGTTGCTGAATTAGGAATCTGAACTTGTTGTACAAAGTACATTTTTCAAAGGGTACCACTCAGAATGTATAGATTTTTTGTAAACTCAAATAAATATGTCAGTGTGTTATTGGGTATGGGGGATAATTGGTCTTATAATGTAATACACCTAATATATGAACATTTCGAGCAGTTGTTATGTTGCCAGTGCTTACCAACATAATTAACTTCAGCTGCTCTGGCTAGACCATTTAATTTATCTAGCCGGGCCTTGGCAGTTTGCAATATTTTCTTACGACGGGCTTCGCGTCGCAAGTCTTCCGCTGTTGATTCTGGAGCCTGTCCCACTGCTGAGTCCATTTAAGTTTAATTCAATTACGCCAAAATATTTGAGAGCTCTCTTAAACGATTTTGTTCACTGAAGATGAGAAAATGTATGACCGTCGATAGTCGATAGTGATGTACATATCGAAAGCAACAGCAACCATTCCTGAGTCACGATTTATTGAATATCAGCTAAATAATGTGTGGAACATTTAGGAATAGGAACATCTCTCAGAGATGTTGAAATAAATGAAAAGATTTTGGCGCGGCAAATGCTTAGTCACAAGATATGCCTGGGTTGTTTATGTGGAAAAAAAGAAATAATTGCTCCTTTGATAGAAATTGCCACAAATTGGTTCATTTCCATATATGCCTCCTAATCCTTCACTCATATTCTCCACACTCACTCGCCCAATAAAATAAATATTAATTTATTATAATATATATTTATAAAAAAGAGTAATTAAAATTATAGCATGAACATTTGCAGCCACTTTCCTTAATTTAAGCAAATATTTCCTGTTTAAGAATACCAATATCTTTAAGCAACTGATTCACTTCACTGGGGCTTGTCTTTTCGTCCAATTGTCTACCCCATTGCATGTACTGTAATCAAAAAGGTAACGATTAATATCACGCTCTAAAGCAAATAAGATTATATTAACCAACTCGCTCCAGTTCAGCGCGCAATGCAATAACTGCCTTTTCACGATCTGCAACTAGCTCTTCAAGGTATTGATAACGAAGCTTTTTGCGGGCGCGGCATTCCCTTGCACTTTGTCTGCTTCGCTCTAAACAAAGGAAAAAAGTTTTTGAATATAAGAAAACACATTCGAAATACTTTTTAAACTAAAATTTTACCCAATTTAGCTTTTATGTCAATTTTTTCAGACGATGTTTTTCGGCCAGGCTTTCGTCCCCTGCGTCCACACTCCTTGCGTTCCTAAAATAAATAATAATTAAATTATATAAACAGTCATTTTGACACACATATTTTCGCTTCATCATGAAACAAGAACGTATATTTAAGTATATTCATGGCTGGCTTATATTATAAGAAATTATCTTCATCAACTTTAGTCTCAAATTAATTTTCACAAAGAACTTTGATTCTTAGACTCTGCGATATGTGTGAAACGCGTCTTTGTTGCTTTTTTTTGAATACCCTTGAATATTAATTTGAACCGTCAACTTCACCTAAGAAATCTTTAACAACCATTTTACCAAGGAGGGATGAATTCATCAAATGGTAAACAACATATTTTCATACAACACAGTAAAAATGTCAGCTTCCTAGTTTACGGCATACACAAACATGCATAGATATGTATGGCATACACAAACATGCATAGATATGTATGTGTGTGTATGTATGTAATTAAGGGTAAACAAAAATATACTGCGCAATAGGTTTTTACATCTTTGAGGAGTTAAATACATACTGTAAGTTGATGTTCTTCCGTCATAGCCATTTGAATACTATCACAATCCATTATATTAACAATATATTAACAATTTTAAAACGTTTTTCTTTTGTTTTGGTCTGTACTTTAAATGAATTAATAAAGATGCATCGATTTCTCAATGTTTATTTAGCATTTCTATCGATTATAAATAATCACGTTCTTAAATAATAGTAAGGCTATTCCTGATTACAATTTCAGAAGCTTATCGATTTTATTACTTCAAGCAAATTTTTCGGATTACTATTTAAATTTACAATATTTTTGTAAAATGTATAACAAACTGCAATAAATAATTTAAAAAAAAAATAATTATTCAAAAATTGCCAACTGAAGATAGGCAGTGCAGTAGAAAGGCATCGATAGATTTAAGAGATGCGCATCTATCGGCGTCACAAGTTCCAAAGCGTGACTGTGCATTTTCGCATGATAAAAAGATTAGTTGAAATCAAATATAAATATAATTTAGAAAAATTGGTTAGCGATGGTCTGTGACTTTCTCGATTAATTGGTTTTTTTTCCTTATCTCATGTCTGTTTTGCCTCCAAAACAATCAAATTAGTTTTGCCTCACTGCAGAGCCATATTGTTTGGCTTATCAAAGATGGTATTCGGTATTGCGATAACAGTTCCTGATATTCAGCTGCAAGAGTTTTCAGCAAGTCTGGAGAAACATGGTCAGCATCGAATTCCTGACCGCCGATTATAGTCGGGGACTCTCAGTTATTGCATTGACGGATGTGAACCACTTTTAGGTCGTGAAGACTACGAGAGACGTCTTCAAGCGGGCAGCACATCTGCCGTGATACCGGTCGCTCGTTACGTTTACGCCGTCTCTTACCCAGTCGAAATTTCATTATGAAACTATATCATTTTTCCCAGTCTGCTTGGCTTACTCCATCTTTGCCACTTGCTCCCAGGGCACGCTGGTTGCTCAAATAGATGAACTAAGCGTCTTTTCAGCCCACTGAAGAGGCGTAGTCTAAGAATTATGCACTCGACTCGCTCGAAAATCATGTTATTGTTTGAAAAATGTTGCTTATGGGACATATTTCAATCATACTCAGCACTTATGATCTTCGGACAACTATATCATATAGTTTTCATAGGAACGATTGATTCAAGCCTTTCTTTCTTAAATATTATTTATGTTGCAGGTTCCTTTGCAGTAATACCCAAAAACTTGCATGTTCCAAAACGTTGCATATATTTTTATGCTACCATATACTTTTTCTTTAATCATATAGATTTATAAAATGGATTAACAATCAGTTTGCAAACCTGAATAGAAAAAATATACAGCATACTAGCACTTCTCTAAACGTTTAGGTCCGTACAACAAAACATAAGCGCAATGCCAGTCACCACCGCCGGAAAGTCGTAAAATTTCATCGGTGGTAACAGATGTTACATCGTCATCGTCGAACTTATACCAAACATCGGCATTTGAACGTACCCAGGCCACATAATGGCCAGATGAACTTGAGCGACCTTTATGAGTTAAGACTGCTTTTAGTGTATAATAGCCAGAGTTGTTGCTGCCCAAATCGTCGTCAAACCAGAATTGTTCATATTTGTTTTCATCGTTTTCTTCGTCGACATCCGGCGATTTTGCGGTTTTATTTATCTGCGACACGACATTCACTTTTTTGTCTTCATGGTCTTTAAATTTGGATCGCATCGGGCACAACTTATTTTGCAAATCAGGTGTGCACAACTCAAAGGCATCAAAGTCAATTGGAAATTTAATGTCTTTCAAGACCTTAGCATTTATGCCTTCCTTTCCTTTATATTGAAATCTGACAAACTGAACAGTAAGATATGCTGGAAGCCGACTCACCAAATACTATAAAATGTTAAAGATTATTTAATTATTGTCAATTTTGACATTTATGGCCTTACAGTTCTTGTGTAATGTGCGTCCCGACCTAGCGTGGCCGAATTCTTAACCAATTGCTCTTTCATTTTCTATTAGATAAACAAAAAATATAGATCTTAAAGCTATTTGTATATTATAAAATAGTTACCGATTTTAGGCCGCTTTGCATATACTTCACTTCCATAGAAATAAAGCAACTGAGCTGCAAAAAATTTTCTGTGGAAACTGTCGCAGGCTCATCAGGGGCCTCATCTGCAGTCATTTGGACTTCAAAAGTTCCTCCAAAAAATTGCTCAATAAATGAGCTTCGTAAAAAACAAATATTTAAAAAAAAATTGACGATTACAAAAAGTAATTAAGCTATATGAAAGAAAATGGTTTTCCTCTAGAAACAAAATAATATTCAATCGGCAACCAATAACATAAAAACTAAAACATCAATATTTGCTACTTAAAGGGCATAATGCTTTTTGCAAATGTAACAGTCAAAAGGAAGCATTCCCCATCCCATAGACTACATATATATTCTTGATCAGCATCAATAGCCGAGTTGATCTAGCCATGTCCGTCTGTCTGTTTCAACTAGTCTCGCAGTCTGGAGACTTTGCATAGGCCCGTCTTCAGGCCCGTTGATGTTAATATAGAATATATATAGACTTTGTGGGGTCGGAAAGTTCTTTCAATGGGTTCAATTTTTTATGATAAATTTAGAACACACTCTATAAGAGCATAAAAAGAGTGGTCTGTAATGACCAAGAAATTTGGATTTTAAATCTTTTCAGCGGTAACTTACTTATGTTTCTTTTTTTCATTAACTTCAACAGACTCTTGGTTTATGGGTTTAAGTTTTTGCTGCAACATTTTCAGTATCTCCGACCAACATTCATTAGCATCTTGCTGCCTATAGGTTCCATTTTCACCAGTCTGGGCAAATTGCGGCGACGCTCGGTGTAAGGCTTGCAATAGAACAATTGGCGTAATTGTTGTGCCCTTCTCCATTTGGGCAAACACTATTTTCATAGCCGATGAAATAGTAAAAGCATATGAACTGGCGTCAGAGCCATCGGGTTGAAATTTTTCCAAGGCCTTGCGTAGTTCAGGCACCGCTCTTAAACATTGAACAGTCGCATTCATATAACATGTATTTCCGAGGTTGGTCAAACCGGCCGGAAGACGCATCTAAAAATTGCATGTCGATAATTAAAAACTCTTACTCAAATTGGCATTGGCAAATGATGTTACCGCAGTCGCCGCTTCAGCGTCGTTCATATCTTCAATAAATTTAATTGGTGTTTGGGGAACTTCTGGAACTTTGTCCTTCGAACCCAATAACAGGACTACAGCTCCCTTTAAAATAAGAACTGTCATCCACAATGCTTAAATAGGCGCAACAGCTTACATCTTTTAATTGCAAATTCCATTCATCATCCTTAAGTATTCCACCTTTGCACATTATTTTTTGACGTTCCGGTTGAACCCCCGTCAGCGCAAAAAGTTGAGCTTTAAATAGTATGGGCTCTTCATCAGTATTGACATCAATATCTGGATACAGCTCACGGCCCCATTTGACTTTCACTGTATAGACAATAAGAATCTGTGCAACAACAAAAGATATTAATATTTTAATGACGTACCTTTAAAAGACGGCATTTTGAAACTACAAACAAAAAATTTTAGAATTTCAAAGTCATGCAAGTGAAGGTGGAATGGAGATGGTAGATTAGCGTTGTCACTGAAACTGTTTATTAAATATCGATATATCGCAAGTTATATATCAATTTACACAGAGTACATTTTCGGGGAACAAATGAAATGAAACTGATGTTCACAAAGACAACTGACTTATTTAAAAATATTAAAATTGATTTAACTCAATCAAATATTGCTAGGAATTTCAAAAGCTTCCACTCGGTTCAATTTTTTATTTTCACTTTTTTTGCCTCAAAAAATAAAATATATTCATTTTTCACATTAACAATAAGGATCACTTGTAATTCAAATTTGTATCATTCTATCGGTCCATCCACATATTGCATCATCTACTCTGCCATCTGGGATATTTTCCGCACACCTTGAAAGTCGACGATATTTTCGTACCAGCTTTCGCAGTCGAAACTCTAAGACAGCCAGTTGAAATATTTTATTTTCCTTCTAAAAAAAGACATTTATTGAATAAAAGGAGAAACCTATATTGTCATCATTCCTATTAGCATGGCTTTCAGTTTTTATAAAAGTATGTTTATATTTGGGTGAATGAATGTACTAAAAATTATGGGCTAATTATTGTTTGAAACAGTATGGGATAGGAACATCTCTCAGGGTTTTCAAAATGGACAAGAGAATAAAGAACGCCGTGTTCGGCACTCGTAATAAATAGTCACATTAAAGCTTTTTGTAGAAAAGGGTTATTGTTGTCCACTAGCAACATATGACGATAAAAATTATATTCTGATATTTCTCGACAAATTTTGATATTATGCAAATGTCAAAACGAATCATGGATTCGGAACATTATAAAAAGCCATTTCCAGAAGCTGCTGCAATGCGACGAGAGCAAAAAATCATATAATTTTCTATAATTTGGTTAAAAAAAGGTGCAAATAATTCAGAAAATTTGTATAAAACTAGCATATGCATTTGAGGACAACAGCAATATTATCCTGGACAGAGCAGTACATTGGTCCGAAACTTAGCCAATCTCGTGGGTGACAGGATGGAGGATGTTGGACCAGGAGGAAAGCGGCAGCGGGCAGGCTGCGTTTTAAGCCTGGTCATAGTAAGGCCTGAGGGAAATTTAAGTGCATCTATATTGTCTTTATTGTTGCGCCTGTTTCAATAACTGTTGATTGATATTGTGCTCCGTCCGATAGCCTCTGAACTGGTCTAAAAGCGCATGTTGTAGTTGTACTCAACAGTCGGGTCTGAAATGCCGTAGTTCTATGCTTTTCCAGAAATTCTTCGATTGAGATTGCGTCAGTTTCTTACTTATATATCCGCGACAAACTGTCCCATGCGCACCTTGCGTTTGATGGCACCGTGGTTCCCAAATGTCTCTCTCAAAAAAGCTTTGCAGTGAGAATAAGATGCACACAAGTGCACAATGAGCAATAATTGAGAACCAGGAACACTCTGCAAATATGCTACATATATCTCTGGGCTGTAAGGAAGCTGTCTTCTCTCTGGGCTTGCAACCATTTTTGCAAGCACTCATGAGGCTAACTCGCATCAAAAATTCTACAGAAATGTAATCATAAACTTTCTCTAATAGATGCGCTACAAGAAAGTAGTGACACATAGCTATTTCAAAACCGTGTGTGGCAGCGGTGGGTGTTGGAGTACCTAACTATACTTGGGCGACGCCTAAAATGGTGTGCGCGAGTCGAGGCGATAAGCCATGCTTATGTGGTGGTAATGTGCGACAAGATAGGTATATTTTAAAAAGTATCGATTAATCAGGTCATCCACTCGTGAACATCTAGGAATATATAATAAAATACTTAATCATATTTTCGCAAATCTAAATCCAGTAACGTCAAGCGTTCCGTCGAACTGTGTCAAGTAGTATATACACAAAATGCAATCATAACTTAGAAATGGAAATCGCGAAATAAAAATACGATGTTTATAGATTTTTGAATATTTATTATAAATATTTTAATTTAAGAGATGGGTTATTTCTACTTTATATAACATAGATACTTTTTAATTATGTATGTTCAGGAACCAGCTCTGATGCCCATACGTCTTGCGGCCATCCTGTACGACCCTTTGTTGATATGTAATTATTCTGTAAAATTAAAAATAATGTTTCATAACTTTAAAGTGTCCTTTCTTTGATTTAAGAGGTTATTGACATTTTCAATCAAAGTTTAAACGCTCAAAAGGGTTCTAGTTTGAATATAATAAATAGGTACGCTAATTTTCAATCATAAATATTATATAAACGAAAGATACTATTCTAGAAGCTATATGTCAATTTTGATGACTCTAGCTCTAAAACCCTTAGAGATTTTCTCAAAAATAGGATTCTTAATATCGATTTTTATTGATTACTTTGAAACGAAGCAGGTTATCGATTATCGGAAGCATAGGTCGTACTGCGCGGGCACTAGGTGGACCTACCTGCCAAAACGGGTCAGATATGCTTTCTCCTGCCTATTAAATATATTTGCCCAAATATATATCATACCCCTTTTACCCATTTTTAATGGGTTCAGGGAATAATTAAGCTAAGAACTCAGAACATGTAAAAGCAGTGCAAATCAACTACAATACATATTTAAATTGAAACTGATCTTAAATCGAAAGCACACATTTGTTTGGTTTGAAATGTATACATGCATAAATGAAGTCTTATATGCGCACGATTGCATTATATCATTAAGATATTTCGAAATTCAAGTATTTAAGTGGTAACCCCACATTACAGCAATAAATATTATAGCATAATAAAACCATGACGTTTAATATCTACAATTTTGTATTCAATATATGTATCTATTTATTCACTAATGTAATTACAAGTATCGCAAGCACTTGACAATTTAATCGAGGAATCATGTAACACCAACCCACCCCAGTCAAGAACATTTATTTATGCTGTGTATACTTGTAATTGGGCCATGTGGTTATGTTTACGAACAGACGTCTGTACAAACTCCAAACAAAAAAGGGGCGGAAATACGGAACTCTGGACCGAATGAATTTGTATACCCTTGCAGAAGGTATTATGATACATCTTGTAAAAGGAGTACATATAAATTTCTAATCGGTTGAAAATTAGTACTTTTGTTATAATTATTTTATTTTTCAAAATATATTATATTTAAAAAAAAAAAAAAAACTGGTACCTAGAAACTTCACTAAACTCTTTAATACGAAAAACTGGAATTTTTTATCGAAGAGCTCTCGGGAAAGTAGGTTAAAAAATGAGTTGAGCCAGAGAAATTTTCCCCAAACTCCGCAATTACTAGTTTCACAAACCTCTGCCCATGTCTGTCAAATCGTGACTCATATGTATTAAAGAGTATTTAATCTTCCACATGGCGTAGAAAGCTGTTCTTTCTTTTTTTTTGTATACTCAACCCAATGAAAATTTGTGAGAACAAGCAGAAGGAAGCATCTTTGATCTAAGAAAGTATCTATATTCTTGAATAATAGGACGATAAAATTTATCTGTCTATATACATATATATCATTAACTCTCTTATTCTTTTTTTCCGATATCCAATACCATTTTAGAAAAATTGATAAAAATTAATTGTCCGTCATAATTGTTCACAAAATTTAAAAAATGAATTTTTAAAGCTGACGTGTTGCGGTTTGGCAACGCCCCTTAAGGGGGGAGTAGGTTGGATTCTGCAGAAGTCGCCATGTGTTAAGCAAGAGCAAACATTCATGCAAACATAAAAAGATGTCGTACACCTTGTTTAGTGAAACAGTTGTTTGTTGTAATCAAGGTTGGCAATCCTCTCTTGCACTTGTCGCATATTGTTCTTTATCTAACCCAATTGTTCATTCGTTATTGATCTAAGCGGGGCAAAGAAATAGTTCTGAGCCACAGCCAAGCACCTTATAACAAAAATAATTTTATAACGCCTTGTATCGTGTTGTTGTGAAAAGCCAAATTTGACTTTGATTCTTGGCTATAGATTAAAAAAAAAACATTGGCAACTTAACAATTACTAATATACATACCTCAATCGCTTGTTTTCTGTCAAGATAGCCCTTACGGTTCGGAAGCTTAAGTTCAGCCTGAAATCCGCTTTTAGGATCTTGCTCACCGTCCAAGACGCCCACTAAGTAGTTTATATACAATATTGCCAACTTTAAAGTTTTTATCTGCAAATGTGTGTTTAAATATAAATAGTTTAATTTTATAAACAATATTTATGTTAGCCCTCTAATGGTTGGAATTTATAATCTTGAAGAAAATTCACGGCCTGAATGTGAAAATTTCAAGTAGCTCTTAAATATGATTTCTATCCTTGTTCGTAAGCGTTAAACGATCATGGAATTTTATTGATTGATTTGATAAAATATTTACCTTGGATAACTTTGTGTCTGAAGGAACATTTGGTATTCTTTCGCGCAGGCATGAAAATGCATTATTTATACTTTGTGTTCTCCTTCTTTCCTTTTTGTTAGCTGTGTTTCTCTTTTTAATAGTTCGAACCGTTGGATGTGGATTGAAACTTATCTGATTGGTGGAAGAATATATTTCGCCGGCACTGTTTATGTTAGAATCTAAAATTATAAAAAACAAAACAAATATATTTATAATAACTATATATGTTATATACAACACATTTTAGATATATACCAAATTTGCGGTTTCAATGTCACTATACTTTGAAATCGAATCTGACAATAGTTTTCGATTTCATAGAATCGGGTGGAATCTCTGAGCTCAACGCGTTCGGCTTTAGTCTGCTGACCAAGAATATATATATTTTATGAGGTTGGATAATTTAACCTTTAGTTTTGAAGAAAACTATTTTACAACTATTCAATTGGTACAGGCTATAAATAGCTATTTCAGAAATATAAATAGTACTTCGTTGAAGCCCAGAACAGTTCAATTTGATAATTGATTTTGGTTTTGAAATTGATAATCAGAAAACTTGCGCGCAGTTTGTGGCAGCTGTCCAAGCATGCACGTGTATGATTTCTTTTGTGTACATGTATAAAAATATATAGTACTTACGAATGGGATACAGTCGGCAACACTCGACTAAGTATCTCTTTCTTATAAACAAAAAAAGTGTGCGGGTTTTTTATACAGCGCCGCAAGAATGGATGAGTGAAGGTACATAAAAGAAACTCAAGGAGATTTGTTGAATATTTATTTTTTTTTTACGCCCGAATGATAAACAAGAATGAACCGTTTTTCAACGGATGGACATAAGGTAATAGGAACTGGGCTCTAGTCGGGATTGCCTAACTAGGAAGTATTCTAAACCCTTCGCCCAGCAACCTTTCAAAAAATTGTGTCTTCCCACTTTATATATGCATATACATACTTTGTTATACATTATGGAAATCTAGCTCTTACAATTTTTAAGTTGTGCCTTAGAAAATATGTCTAAAAATCTATTTTTATCGAAATTAAGTCTAAAAAACTATTTTCATCGAAATTAAGGGAGATATGTACAAAAGCTCTTCCTACGAGAACAGACGGACTGATATGGCCAGACTCAGAACTTCGCACTGATCAAGAATAAATATATTTCATTCACTTTTAAAGGGTTTATGAATACAGCTTTTAAGGTTTTGGCCAAACGTTGATTACAAGCAGTATTATATGTTGAGTAAATCGTTTACTATTGAATTTTTAAATGAAATACTCACAATCAAAAACATTTAAGTCCGAAATGGGCGAGTTATTATAATCACCGTTGTAAAAAAACGAAGGAGAATCCCGACATACCGGACTTACGTATTTCGACATTTCACTCTTTCAAGAACAGAAACCTCATAGGTGTTGCATTTATTTATTTATCAATAAAAAAACTGCTATTATTTACTTAAGTTAAGGAACTTTGCATACTTGAGAAATTAGCTCATTACCGGCACAGAAATAACTAAATATATTTGAAGAATATTTCCCGAACAGAGACTGTTGCATACTACATGAATATTAACCAGACCAACACACTGAACACACCCTCCAATTTGAACCAATCACAAACGTTTAGCGCCTCAACCAATACTCAGCTATGGTGAATTTATCATTTGACCCTTAAATAGAATTCAGTTATAGATGCAAAATGATTCTAGCATTAATTTCGCTGCTGAAAAGTATTACGAACTTCATAAAAGTTACATTATAATATAGTATTGTATGTTAAAAAAGACACATTCAATAAGACATAAGGAAACATAGATATCTTGAATGTGTTAATTTTGAAAATATCGTTACTAAAAATCATATTATATAGTACTTGCGGGTTTCTACTAAACATTTAAGATATCACTTTTTTCTTGTTTTCGACCGTGAAAAATTGAATTCTGCCCGTACGTTCTTAACCTCCACCTTCTATTTTAAAATATTTTTCAAGCCTATCGAATAAAGTACAAAAACTTGGACCCATATTTCCATCTAAGAGCGGTGAATATCGTAAAAAGCATTTAAATAATTTTTACCAACGATCTATGAAAAGGATGGTTTACAAAAAAATTTCCATGCAAGTTTTCCACTAATTTCCCACTGTTGCGGGTGGAATTTACAAAATCGCTGTAACACTTGTTCTTTTAGTTTTTATGCGGTGCTTTGAAAATAAATTTGAAGCTGATCGAACGAAACCTAAAACTTTTCCCCGCACTAGGGGGTTTTTACGAAAAATGTGAAACACGTCTAACTAAATTTTTTCCGTCAATCGCAAAATATGACATATATTTTTTAAAATCTTAAGCAATATTTATTAAGTTCTTAAATTTGGCGCAAGACGATAAAAAATTAAAAATTCAGCATACATTTTTGATAAACATATTAAATTTAAATTCTCACTCTAAATTGTTCCTACCAGCCTGGTTCCAGAGTGAACATTATATCGATTGGTCTTCGATCATTAACAGAATGAATTGTGCCATTATAGTCGCGGCGAGCATTTATAGAATATTTGAGGGTTCAATTTTACATCAATTTTTAACAAAAATACCATAATTATTATTTATAAGAGGAGAAGTCAACCTCACTTAAGGCGCAAGTCCACACTGGTGACTGAGGCAGTAAATATCTCGTTCCGTAACCGGTCCTACGTAGTATTATTCGCTATCGCAGATCAACAGTAGGTAATATTCCTGCAAAACCAAAGTGAATTATTAATTTGTATACGCAATAAACCCTATTCTTATATTGATACTCAAATCAATAATATAAATACCTAACAGTCATCTTATATTTAATATCTATCTGTAATCTAATTGTACATTTTTTGGGCAAAAACGCAGGACTCTAAAGCTTAGTAAAGCAATTAGAAATTTTGATTTGAATTCACGCTCTTTCCCGGTAATCTGAACTACATGTACAGAGAGAAAGCTCGTGAGCGAAATATCATCTCTATAGGCTTAATACTCGTATTGATTCAAAATTTCAATGAGGTTCATAGAGACTTCAAGCACCAAAGCTCACCTTTCAAGTTTAATCTCAGCCTAAAAAAAGTTTAGTTCAATTTTTAGCACTAAGCGAAGCAGATCGAGCTGTGAATCTTATACAAACCTAATTTGGTATTAGAACGTATGTATTAACAAATTATATAAGTTTGTTTTATATTAAGCCGTTATAATATCTTTGCGTTAACTTTTATATGTATGTGCACGTGAAAACAAATGACACACACACACACTTAGTTGGATATACATACATACATATCCTACATGCATATGTACAAAATACATATATACATATTATTTACGTATGTGTCTTGTTTCGTTGTTTATAAACAAGCAAAGTTCATATACAAATTCGTGTATTCGTTTCAATAATATACGTATGTATATACATACATATATACTGATTCCTACGTGCTTATGTACATATATACAGATGTGCTTGGAGAATAAAACCGGATTTGTTAAATATAAATACACACACAAGTTTCGAAGAGGCGGCAGTTTCGGTACACGAAATTATTGTGTACATATGTATGTATGTAAATTAACAATTAACACATATATATGTATATTAATATGATTGTTTAATCATTCAGAGTACTTTTCAAGAATGTATGGTTCATACTCATACTTGCATACATACATATGTACACATGCACACTCATAAAAAAATACATTTGTAAACATTAACACGCTTGAATACACATCTATATACATACATAAATATGCCGCTTATCACTCTTGTTGTGCTAGGATGTTAATAGGTAATCGACTTTTACTATCACCAAGCTTTGACATACTTAATTGTATGTGTGTACATATGTACATACATGTACGCATGTGTGTAGCCGAAAAAATATGTCAGTATGCACACAGTTCCTCGAAGCTTATTTCGTGCAGATGTAAAATTTAGTCATAATCATCAATGGTAGATGATCAGAGGACCCTTCGCTTGGCTAACCCCGTCATAGATGATGAGGACCAAGGCTTAAGAACAGTCGAATGATGCATTCCTTAAATTATTTCCCGGGGGAGATATGCGGCAGCGATGATTGTTCGTCGCCCTGGACAGCCAAATATGATGTGCTTGTAAAGCAGGCAGAATTGAGTACATCGTGTCGAACGAAGTATGGCTCCTCCACAACTGATAGTGTCGCTGAGAGTGTCGCTGAGAGTGTCGCTTCACTTGGCGATATTAAGCAAGGTGCCGCAGAGCTCGTTAGCGCCGTAATAAAGCCCAAACCAAGTGTTCAACCGTATGGATCGTCTGATCGGTGGAAATCAGATTCCGGATGAACTCAGCGAGCTAAAAGACCTATTTTAATGATCTTTCTGGTCATTAAAAAATGTCAAGGACATTGATAACATAAAAGATTCTGAGGAGGCTATTACGCACAGCTTCAGAGAGAGAGAGGTGTCCACAGCTGGCACGCACAGTTTTTCTTGAGATCGCATTAAGCAACTTTGTGGATCCGTTGCATTACTTCCCCCGACCGATCGTGCTGTTGTTATTGGAAGACTGCTACAGGTTAATGAGAAGCGGTTTTTTGTTAGTAGCTCCTTAATGACGATACATCGATTTCACGGACTACGAAGGGTCCAGAGACCTATAAAGCGTGGATTCTCCAAAGCGGAAGAGAGAATGTTCCTCATAGAAAAAGCGTAAGGCTTGATCTTCTGTATATACAATTTTCGCGTGAGGTGCAATATTGAGAGGGACTCCAAACTCATTGTTTCTGGATGCTTGCTTTTTTTTATATATGAGATAAAACCATTCTTAAGTCCTAAATATATTTGAATTTTAGGAAACCGAAAGATGATAATTAAAATTTTTATATTGGGCCTTATGGCATACACATGCCTGGGACAAGATAGCTCACTGGATGACCTTATTGCTGATATTTTCAAAACAGACGGTTCTACCACCCAATCGACTCCAACACCTTCACAATCTACTGAGACTATAAAGGAACGAACCCAATATGAGTCCTGTGGGGAACAAAAGGAATGTGTTCCTCGATGGTTATGCTCCAACGACACCATTAATACTAGTGGAGAAAATATAATTGACATTCGCATAGATACTGGATCACCTTGTACAAAGTATTTGGAACGCTGTTGTGACCTTCCCAACAAGGTAATTTTTGGAATTTTTATTGTTGGAGTAAATTATAAAGCAAACTAATTATCCAGAGAGATACGCCAGAAATACCGGTTGGACCTATTGATCAAAATCGAGGTTGCGGATATCAGAACCCTAATGGTGTTGGCTTTAAAATAACTGGAGCATTAAATCAAGAAGCAGAATTTGGCGAATTTCCATGGATGGTCGCAATTTTAAGAGAAGAGTCTCAACTCAACTTATACGAATGTGGCGGCGCTTTAATAGCGCCCGATGTGATATTGACAGCAGCCCACTGCGTTCATAACAAAGACGCTAAGTCTCTTATTGGTATGGGGTTTTAATTATAATACATAATAGATAATTATTAATTCCATATTTATTTTAGTTCGAGCAGGTGAATGGGATACGCAAACCAAAGACGAAATAATTCCACATGAAGATCGTTATGTAAAGGACATTATTTATCATGAGAAATTCAATAAGGGATCCCTTTTTAATAATGTTGCATTGCTATTTTTAGAAAGCCCATTTAATTTTCAAATGAATATTCAACCGATTTGTCTACCAACACTAGGCGAAGATTTCGAATATGAACGGTGTTATGCCACAGGTTGGGGGAAAAATAAATTTGGCAAAGATGGGGAATATCAAGTAATACTCAAAAAAATAGATTTACCTGTTGTTGGAAGAGCAAAGTGCCAAACTAATTTGCGGGAAACACGACTTGGCAGGCATTTTATATTGCATGAGAGTTTTATATGTGCAGGAGGAGAAAAGGATAAGGATACGTGTAAGGGCGATGGTGGGTCTCCATTAGTGTGTCCGATTAAAGGTCAGCCCAATCGCTTTAAGTCCGCTGGTATAGTTGCTTGGGGTATAGGTTGTGGTGAAGAAAATATACCCGGTGTTTATGCAAGTGTTGCCTTTTTAAGACCATGGATCGACGAAAAACTGGCTAGCCGACAGATAAGCTCGAAATATTTTACACCTTAAGCGATATACGAAACATTTATATAACAAACTTAAAAATGTTTTTCAAATTGTGCGATGACAAAATAAGCAACAAAAAATTAAATAAAAAAAATTTCTTTTCAGATACGAATCTAAACTCAATATATTAGTTAATAAATTAATTAATTTAGTAAGAGGCTCTAGTCGGCAGTTCCCGACTAGGTGATACGTTGAACTCTTTCCCACCAACACCAAATACAGCTGCTGCAATGCTGTTGAAAACCAACAGATTTGCTAAACTTGTATAACCGCGCAGGAATTACGAGGACCTGAATTCTAATTTCAGCTTCTTCAAATCCTTGGCTCCTACAGATTCTGAGATTCTTGCGTTCATGTTCATACATGCGGACGGATGGATTGACCGATAGACGGACATGGATAAATCGACTCGGCTATTGGTGCGGATCAAAAATATATTGATTATGGGGTTGGAGATGCTTTCCTTATGACGCATTCTTAATGGGTTCAACGTATAATCTTGACTGACTGAATGATTGGTGATCAACGCGCAGCCCCAGCCGTAAGAGCTAATTAGTCCAATTCCATTTGAGAGGGTTTTTACACTTTTCGGAAACTCCTTCCGCATCAAAGATTTAAAGGCTGGCGTATCACACTCTTATAAAAATGTAAGCTCGGAGGGAATAGCGCTTCAAAGAAGTTGTATGTTTTGGCATTTCAGTCGTAACTGTGTTAAATTGGCGAAAAACGGATGTATGAAAGTTGTTCGCTATCTTTTAAACAAACTTGATCTCCGTTTGATGCTGTTTATAATTAGCATTTACATATATAAGATCATGAATGCCCTATTCTGCCCTTTGCGTACTTGTGCACAAAACTTTTATAAAAGTTTGAACAAAAAAAGGAATGTGGTAAGAAGACCATGAACTATTCTCTTGGGGAATTATACTTAAGAGAATATAGACTGTCGGTAGACTGTCGGATATATATCCCGAATGATGATCTCGCCGAGAGTTTATAGCACTCGCATTCAACAGACATTATAGCTCAAATCTCATTTCACTGCCCTTCCGGAAAGTGCAAATTTAGCCAAGCGTACTACCTTTATTTGAGTATATGGTGTAGTATACGAGGGTTACACTTTTTGTTATGAGACTATTAAGTGGCTTGTCCTGATGACGTTGTCCGTGTTAAATCTTATAGTACCATATAATATTTGTATGATCTGTCTATGTATATTGTATATAATTGCTTAAATTTTACCTATAAATGGTTGTATGTGGCAAGGAGAACGAGGTTTCCCCGACTCCAAAAGGTATATATATTCTTGATCAGGAATAATAGCGGAGTTGATCTAGCCAAGTGCGTTTGACCGTCCATATGTATGAACGCGTCAATATTAAAATCTTTGCGATTTATAGTTTTTAACTTAGGTTCTGCTTGTGCTCTTGCAGTACGAGTTTGTTTCCGATAACCGATATCTTGTCCCATTTTAATCGATAAGAAACGCTATGGAAACTAGTCTAGACCGGCTCAGCTCGGTCTGATCAGAAATAAACAAGGATCGGGTTCTTGTTATATTTATTATCCATTTTCAACGGATTCACCACCAGTCTTACCAATATTCAAGGCTACCCTCGATTTAGTTATGTATGTAAGTAGACAATTTTATGTTTGTATATACATATGTACGTACATACATACATACATATGTATGTATACATGTATACTCGGAAGTTTAGTTTTTAAAACTGTTTTGTCTGGGTGTATACCTTCTGCATATGTGCATGCATAAATACCGTATATGTGTATGCTTTTACCAGCTCATCGAAATAGACAGAAGTCACGCGATCAGGCGCCTTCAGTCGTATAAAATATTTCTGTATGTTTTCTGGTTTTTTACCTGAATTCAAGAGAGTTGAGCTGATCTACATTGTGTGTTTTCTTATAATTTACACTGCATTACAAAATCAAATATGTATTTATGTACATATGAGGTATCCCAGCGTGGTATATTATCATAAATAATACATGTTCAACAAATTTATTATAAAAAGTTTAAAACTATCATAGGACATAGGACTACAGGACTCTACCGAAGAACGGTAAATAATAAAAAAACAAAGAGAAGCGGGTCAAGATGACTGCATTAGAAATGCAGTTTGTTCCGGAATAGAGCACCGTTTATGTTTCTGTTACTCAGATACCTTGACATCCAGTTAAAAAGATAAACTGAAGCTGTAAATCTGCTTATTGTTCTTAACCTATCAAATTGAATAGAAGCAAAACGGCTACAGACCTGCGTTCAATGAACCTTCAATGAAAATATCTGCATTAATTTCATTGTAGAAATGTTTTTTTTTTAACTATAGTTACAAGAGTTTTATTTCATATACACATAAACCAAGGCTTGAAAAAATTGTTGACTAGTGTTTTCGACTTACTCTTAAAAACATATAAAAAACATAAAAACAAAATTGCTTGCATAAATGTTGGTGCACATTTTTATTAAATGTGAGTTTGGCTCGACTATAAATGCTCCATTGAAGCTTTCAGATATTCATTGCTGCTGGAGATCGTCAAACATCAACATCAAAAGTTTAAAAATATTTTAACTGAAATTAATATTTTTTTAAAAGATGACAACATGCGTAAGAGTTAATACAAGCATTTAATCTTATGTGTATAAAAGTATTTATATATTTCAGATTTCCTACGTAACTTCGATATTTTTAATTTTATCAATTTTTCTTGCGGAAGAAACGAAAGCTAATTCCTTTCTAATGGAAAAACATATTATAAATCATCGGAATTTGACGAATAACAACCTAAAAACATTAAATACTAATGCTGGGTTTCAGGAGTACGGTAAATTTGATTCGAATTTGCCCTTAAATCGCACTTACAATGAAGTCAGAAGAAGCCGTACTAAAAAAAAACGTCAAGCAAAAGCTTCCAAGCATGCAAAGCGTTCACACTTTAATAAATCTTTAAATATACCAACAAAGCTTAAGAACAATCTACACACAAGCGAAGATAAAGAAGTAAAGATTTACGAAACTTTTGAAGAAATACACGAACACATAAACGAGCCGGACAACCAAGATGGACAGTATCAAGCTGCTAAGCGTTACGAAAGTCGTGAAGAAGCAGTTGGTGGACCAGAAAACATTGAGGAAGAAAAACACGATGATCCTGTTAAAATTAAAATCAAGCATCATCATCACCATCATCATCATAACCATATTAAAGAAGTTATAAGATCCGTACCAAAACCGTATCCCGTTGAAAAAATTGTACATATTCCAATTGAGAAAATTATTGAAAAAGTTGTTCAAGTCCCAAAAATTGTCAACGTAACAGTCGAGAAAATTGTACATGTGCCTGTAGAAAAAGTAATTGAAAGGATTGTTCGAGTTCCAAGGCCAGTTCATATTTCTAAGCCTTATGTAGTTGAAAAAATCATGGAAAAAATTGTACACGTACCCAAACCGTATCCTGTTCTAAAAACTGTTCCATATCCTGTTGAAATCAAAGTGCCAATAACCGTTGAAAAAAAAATTCCAGTCCCCTTTACCGTTGAGGTCGAAAGAAAAGTGCCAGTTTACATTAAATCCCAAGAGCCATACAGGTATGAGCACGCATATTATAAAAACCATGAAGAGCACGGTATGCCGAAAATTAGTTCTGACACTGAGGAAACATTCGATCGTCCTGTTTATTCATCTGAAAATTACTATCATAATAAACAAATCGCCTCAAAACACGCAGATTTATCAATGAGATCACAATATCAAACTTTTAAGGAACCAATAAATCAGCATACGAATATAGAGCCAATTCCCTCAAAACAAACAGATTTATCGCAATATCAAACTTTTAGGGAACCATTAAATCAGCCCACGAATATAGATCCAATTCCCTCAAAACAAACGGATTTATCACAATATCAAACTTTTAAGGAACCAATTAATCAGCATACAAGTAGAGAAGACTCAAAGACATTTGCTTCCATGGAGCAATCAACAGCAGAAAGTACATTTATTCCTTTTAAATTCCTTGAGACCAAGTCTCCATTCAATATAATTGTCGCTAATAACGACACATCATTTAATTTCAACCCACAAGCTTTTGGCAATAAATTACATGAATTGCCAATTTCGTTTCCAATTGAGTTTATTCAGGTGCAACCAATGCCTTTTCAAAATCATTTAACACTAGAGTCATCCAACCAACAACCTTCATTCAAAGGTAATTTACAAAAATAAATAATAATAATGATTCCGCTGTATATCTAAAACGGCATTAACATAATAACCAATTTTATACGCACAGTATTTAAAATAGCATATCCATTCGAATTATTATATTATATGTTAAGTCCTACTAAGTGATACGGTACCAAGCACATAAATGCATTTTGTTTTGGTAGGAATAAATAAAAATTGCGGCAACGCATGTACATTTTCAGTAAATATAATTAAAATTCTTTGATTATTATCTGATATGCCGTTACTGTAGTCTATCAACTTTTTTCGGAATGAGGATCGTGTGTGATTTTCGTTTTGGCAATGTTGCCCACTTTATAATCTAGAGTTTTATTTATCTAGGAAAGTACATTTTTTGCGTGGGCGTCTGTTTGTGCTGTTACAAATGTTACAAATATTTGTTATTGTATCCTACAAAAATTTTAAAACTTTGTCGCCTACGTCCTACTTATATTTGATAGAGCTATATATATTGTATATATATACCTTGAATAATAAGAGCTCATCTGTTAAACGGAATGCTGGAATGGAATGGAATTGTGAAATTTAGCACACATCTGTCTAAGATGCGTTACCAACCAATGGAATCTCCCTATTAGAATATATAGTTTAGTATTTTTTATGTAGTATTTTTTGGGTTCTTTCTAACGGCCCCACTAATCCATTATGGTGTTTTTTTTTATGTCCACACAACGAATACAATTGTGATATTTGGGAAAATATTACGGTCGGAAATCATGGAATCTATTGAGCAGTATGACGCCAACCGCGACGAATTAATCATACAACAGCAGCGAGAAATAGAAAAAGAAGTAAGGACAGCAATGTCTAACAACGTTTAATGTACAACTCAAATGGTTTTAGATCAGCGATACAACTCCTCTCGTGAGTGAGCAACTGCCGCTGACTTGTTTACAGGAAGAATATAATGGGGACGAGATCTTTACCGATAAGATTCAAGAGCTTTCTAAAAAATACAAATTTATTCGACGCACTCGTCCCGATGGAAATTGTTTCTTTCGAGCATTTGCTTATTCATATTTAGAGTATTTAATCACCAACAACAGTGCTTACCAAGAATTTCAAAAACTTGCCGAGGCTTCTAAGGACAAGCTTGTACAACTTGGCTTTCCCAGTTTCACATTGGAAGATTTTCATGAAACTGTAAGTGAATTGTGTGCTATACAAAGTTATTTTTGGTCATTTGTTGCATGCTGTTTTTTCCTTACCAGTTCATGGATGTGATTAGGCGCGTTTGTCCAAAGGATGCGGAAACTACTGGAAAAGTTAAAACCGAACTGCATACTGTATTTAACGATCAGGGATATTCCGATTATGTTGTCGTCTATTTGCGTCTCATAACATCAGGCAAACTGCAGGAAGACGCAGACTTTTATCAACACTTCATAGAGGGTGACTTTTCCATTGAAGAGTTTCGTCATCAAGAAGTCGAACCCATGTACAAGGAATCCGACCACATACATATCATCGCACTCTGCACAGCGCTGGGAGTAGGCGTGCGTGTTGAGTACCTGGACAGGGGTGAAGGTGATCAAGTGAAAGCGCATGATTTCCCTGAAGGATCAGAGCCAAAAGTTTATCTTATCTATAGACCAGGGCATTATGATATATTGTATCCAAACTGAAGTTGACAATGCAAAAACATGTGTACGACTGTCAGCATACATATATAGTACATAATACTGCTTTAGACTTTAGTCAATTAAGAAATATAATATTACCTTACTTCCCGTGAAGCATTCTTACTCGTGGTTTTGACAATCGTGTCAACGATGAGTGCAGTTTTCTACAAGCAGACTGGAACGCTTGATAAGGTGCCCCACGCGATTACCGAAGTCGCCTTGTTGTTTATAATACGAGCAAAAAAGCAAGCCACCCACCTGCCTTCAGGAATGCCGATCGCCGTGGATCTGTGTTCTGATTTTGGAAACATACGCACCCAAAATTGAAAGGATATTGCATTGGTACCAATTACTAAATTGTAAAGGAGAAATTAAAGGTAAGGTTTTTTCTCATATAATCAAATTTATGCACTTGCCAACTTCATATATGTATATATTGTATACCTTTTGCGGTAACCTTTGAACCTTCTTTTAAACGTAATATTTCAATACTTAATATATATCATAAATTTTAGCAGTGAATGAAGGCGTGTAAAGTTGAAAATGTATATTTGTATACCCTGAACCCATTAAAAATGGGTAAAATTGCGTAGCATAAAAGTGTGTAACAGGCAGAAGGCAAGATCTCCGAACCTATAAAGTGTATATATTCTTGGTCAGCATTGGTAGCATTAATAGTTAGTCGATCTAGCCACGTCCGTATATATCCTCGATCTCAAAACTGATATGAGACTTGAAATTTTGGGGGCTGGGGTTTCTCGCGTCGCTTTGTATGTTCTGCCCGCTCCGTTCACCCGTTGCCATTAGTCAGCACTGGTAAAGTTCGATCAAAAAATCTCTCCGCAACTCAGATCGAGCTCCTCTTTGGGCCGAGAACGATGCAGAAAGTGCATATGCATACTTTAAAATTCTCATACATAGCTCCGCACAAGGCATTGAAATTAAAAAAAAAAATAAAAGCTTATTGCTAAAAATAAATACTTTATTACGTATAGCTCCCTTAGAAACTATAGATGAATATGTTAGAACAAAGATTGAACGCCGAAAAAATGAGATTTGCTTCAAATTAAAGATTCATTTAAAATTCTTTTACTAAATAATTTCTATATCTATAATTTAATCAGAATATGCATATACAGTTTATAACGCTTAGTTTTAACCTAATGACACTCATTCAAATATATTTCGCTTATATACAAGTTAAAATATTCACAAATGTAAATCCAACAAAATTTTGGCAGTGCCAATTCTTAAATATACATCATCTCTGCCATCGACGACATCTTTTTAGGAATGTGCACCATGGTGTCGAAGTAGCTGGCCAGCTCAACAATTGTGACATCGTCGCAATTGCTCGGGCTGGCGTTGTGTGCATTGTTGCTTGCCTCCTGGGAGCATGAGAGTCTGGAGCCTGAGGTAACGCTAGTTGGGTCACGTGAGTTGGGTTTGTGACCAATTCCTTTTTGTGCGGATGCTCCTCTTGTTTGGCATAGCATGAAGTTCTTGGATTGGTGCTGGCTGTTGTCCAAGGTTTCCTTTTTGGACTTGGACTCATCTAGCAAGATATTGCATTCACTTATCAGATCCCGAAAGCTGCAAATGCCGTTTGTACTGGATTTAATGCAAATATTTGTTCGAGGCTTATGAAAATTTGTGTGATTCCTTTCATCGAAACTCAAGGGAATCGTTCGACGGACACGGGTACCAAGCCCGCATTTCGTATGCAGATTATCGTGTGCTATCCGTAATACTGGCTCGCGCAGCAGATTTCTTTTCGATGGTGCAATATTGCTTCTTTTCAATTGCAGTTTATTCACTCCGGGCAGGCAGCGTAGATGATTCACAATTTCAAAACTATCTGCAGCAGCTGGAGCATCTGATTTCTTAATTTGAAAGTCGTCCATGTTGCTTTCGGATCTGCGTCGAATTCGACGCATTTTACGATGAATTATTTGTTTTGTACATTGAATAGGTGACTCGTTTGTCTGATTATTCGAAATTGCAATTGGAGTATAAAATGGATTTCTATCACATAATTTTTTATGTTCATTTTTTGGAGTTATTTTCAGCTTATCCAAATCAGCTGGCAGCTCCTCTGTTGACATTTTTCTTTGTTGTCTTTGCCTATTTTATTGAACAAAATAATATAATAAATTCACTTCCAAGGCTGATTTAGATGGATATTTGCGAGAATATTTGATACAATGACACTTTACTTTAGCATAAAACTTTTTCTTACTCTATTATTTACAATTTTTTTAATAGTGCTGGTAAACGTTTATATATTAGTATTATAATTATAATTTTCAAGTCGTTCTCACTTGGTCGCTGTTCAATTTACGCGTTAACGTCACATCATGTTTTATGAGCTCATGATACAAAATTCGATAACACAGCTTCTCTTAAAAATTCAAAATATATTTCATTGCTTTTAAGTTTTGTCTTGAATTGGTGGTTGACATTGACATTTTATTTTATTTAAGGGTAGCAGCTTGTGCAAAATATACGTATTCTACAAGCTGCATGTTAAGTTTGGAGACTGTAACTCGTAAAGGCCTAGAAAATTGCCTAAAAACAGGATTTGTATCGATTCTTATCGATTACCAATATACATTAAACAAATTCAAATGTTTAATTTCAAAAGATGTACTACGGAACTAATTTAATATCTCTATGTATAAAACTGTTTGTTCGGACTGACTGACTGTTTGGTGATCAACGCACAGCTAAATCCGAAAGAGCTGGACCTGAGGAGGTCGCAAGTTGAGACGGTGTTTCGGGAAATTCTACCTGAATTTATGGAAAAGTCGCGAAAAACATTTGTATGCAATTTTTTTGCTTACCATCCGATCGCAGATCTCCTCAAATTCTATTGAGGGATGTTTGACACTTTTCGAAAAATGCATTCCTTCTTTGTAGAAATGGGGATCAATGACTTGGCGGGTCACGTTTCGTGTTCAAATTTATTTCCAAAGATCTATATGAAAAATCATTTGAAACTTGTTCAACTCGCTTAATCCTTGACAATAAGAATGTAAAGAATCTAATAATTACGTAGCATGGAATATTTTTATTTTTTATATTATTTACAAACATTGTATAAACATTTTATAAATGCATAACACGTAAAATAGCTGTCAAACAAACACAAAATATGCAATTGGCACAGAAGCTCCTTACAATTTTGAGTCCCCTACGCCGGCTAGTCAATTCGAATCCAATACGGACAATGCTTCATTTTTTTCCTCCTGCAATTCCTTAGCAGTCAAGTCCAGCTTTGTCTGTCCAAAACTACTAACCGATAAGTTCTCAACTATTTTCCATTGCTTGTTTTTAATCTCCACTGGAAATGAGAACACCACGTCCTTCGGCGAGTTATAGCTGCCATCTGAAAACACACCCATGGATACAAATTTGCCTGGTGCTGTGCCATTCCACCAGTCATGCATATGGTCGCAGGCAGCCTTTGCTGCTGACATGGCAGACGACATTTTGCGGGCTGCAATAACAGCTGCGCCACGTTTCTGAACGGTGTCAATAAATTGGCCTTCGAGATAGGCATTGTCGCCAAGTGCATCAGCGACAGATTTCCATTCATTGTTTATCAGGACTTTTCCTTGGCTAGCATCTGGGTATTGCGTAGAGGAATGATTACCCCAGATTATTATATTACTAACATGAGTAATTGGAACACCGAGCTTATTTGCGATCTGTGATGATGCACGATTTTGGTCAAGGCGAGTCATGGCTGAGAAGTTTTCACGTGGAATCGATGGTGCGTAGTTGGCACAAACTAACGCATTGGTATTCGCCGGATTTCCGACTACAAGCACTTTAACATCTTTTTTCGCCACCTTGTCAAGAGCTTCGCCTTGTACTTTGAATATTTTTACGTTAGCGGATAGCAAATCTTTGCGTTCCATTCCCTCCTTGCGGGGCATGGCACCCACAAGAAAAGCTGCCGAAACATCTTTGAATCCTACTAGTGGGTCCGTTGTAGGCACAACTTTGCGCAATAGTGGCAATGCGCAATCGGAAAGTTCCATTACAACACCTTCCAGGACACCCACCATTGGCGGAATATCGAGGAGATGCAAAATAAGCGGTTGATCCTTTCCAAAAACTTCTCCTCTTGCAATCATGTACAGCAAGGAATAAGCTATTTGACCAGCAGCACCGGTAACAACAACACGAATCGGTTCAGCCTGTCAAAATTAAGAGACGGAATTAAAATTATTATACAAATTACTCAACTCTTTGCTAATTGCACAATCTATTTAGGTTTAAGATACAGTGAAATACTTAATCATTGAGCCGCCTTCTTGGCATCAGTCATATGCTCAACCTGAATCTATTAAATACTCCTAAACAGAGTCCTACCTACAACTACTACAACTAGTAGATAATAATCATATCTCAAATAAATGAGAGTAAGGCAGATGAGCCTTGGTTAAATATGGTGGTGATAAGCACAAATAGATAATAGAAGATGAAGGTTCGCATGACCCCAAATCAGTTCCTCAATCTTTAGAGGTCAAACGCAAACATAGCTCGTAACTTGTTGACATGCATTGTAATCTTACAGACCAATTATGCTGCCTTGCAATAGGCTGTTGAATATAGCGATTCTATGTCATAAAGCCGACTTGAAAATAAATGTCTGGTCTATTTGTAAGTCATTTTTCCAACTAATAAATGAGGCTGCTTTAGCAATTTATTGTCGTATTCTATCTAGATTAGCCTAGAGGACACGGATGTACATGAATTTATCATTCTAGTGTTATCTCAATATTAAGTATTTAGCGAGTAAAGTGCGATTATTTAGCCGGACGTTGATAGAACCTACAATTAAATCTATGATTTTCTTCTTCTTGGATCACAAATCGCTTATTAGGTTCAAAGGTTTATTATTAATATTTGAATTCTTACATAAATATTATCTACCCTAAGTGGGTATAATGGTTTTAGGTCTCATATATAATACAAATGCATGTATATAATATATATCTATATATGTATGACATTCAATGTGTGAGATTTGTCAAAAAGCTCCGTTTTTAAATATGAAGACTTTGCCTGTATTTGTTATTTAGAATAAATAAGGTCAAATGAATGTTATTTGTTTTAATTACCGAAATTCAAGCAATCGCATATTATTTATGCATGTTACGTATGTGACTAAGTCTTAAAAAAATATCGCTGTTAATTTGGATTTTATGGTTTAATCTTACCATTATTTATTATATTGTCTCTCCAACCGAAAAATAAAACCTTCTACAATAATTGATATAAAGTAGTGATGTAAGGTACATTGAAATCGATGTATCTACCATGTTTTACCGACTCCCGATAGCTTGCCGATACATTAACCAGAACTATCAAAAAATGTAATCGATAGTCAATTCACACTGACTACATGTTTGAGAAGCGGATGAAATTTGTGGAAGATGTGAAACTGCGCTCACATTGGCAACTAACATCTAACATTTTTATAAATAGCAGCCATTCGAGGTGTTGGGAAAAAACGTGAATTTTAAACAAAGCTAATAGAATAGAACTGATCTCCTCGGAGGTAAAGATCGCGCAGTTTTTACTATGAAGAAAGGGCAAACCTTATGGAACGGTTGGGTTTTGACTGATAAGAAATTTTGAGCTATGTCCATATGGGATATTTGGGGGCATCACATGCATTTTGTAAATTTTTACATGCATTTTAGATTTTCCTTAGGGAAATTACAATGAAATTTAAATTCATTCTAAAAACACTTCTATGTTGACACAAGTAATGTATATATATATATATATATTATATTTTTAATTTTTTGTTCGGCACAAACCATTTTTAAAAAGTGTTAAGTGTGTGCCAGGTACAATAAATATTCAAGGCTTATATTTTTCCTCGGGCGAGTACATATTTGAAGCGCAGTGGATCGTGTGAGTGGCGTTGCAATCCTCTCGCTTTTGGTGCACCAGCGTTTGTGTGCCAACCTACCGATACTTAGATAACCTTATAAATAAATATCAACGCTGCCGATAGTGGCAAATGTAACACATTAGTTACATGTAAGTGTATGTTTTTATTGAGACAGCTGAATATCTCGTGTGAAGTCACATAGTGAATAAGATTGTTTAAAAAGTTTGTAAAATCTTCTAAGAGTTTTAACATTTTTGCGAACCGGAATGATAGTGAGTGGTGTAGCACATGCTTAATAACGAAATAATATCACAATTGTAATTTGGCGATACTCATATTCGTTACATGTTTTTCTTACCATTGAATAAATAATCGATACAACTTGAACTAAATCGAATTGTTCCCAGCTCTAAGTGAATGTATGTAACATATTTATGTGTTTTCAATAGACATTTAATTTTAGGCAATATTAAATTATAAAATTTAATGCTGAAATAACTTGTGAAAAATTTGCAAATGTGCATTTAAGTAAAGCTAAAAACTTTCATAGGCCGGAGATATGCAGTGCCAAGTTATGCTGCTTCAGGTAAATACTCAATTGGCTTACTTTGTGTGAGCTCACAGAAGCAAACGTATTAAAAAGATAAACACATTTTATAAAATAAGTTCTTGTCACTGACTAATTAACACTAAAACATACTAAAATGTGCATATACTTTTGCTTAAAATTAATGTAAAATAAGAACGCAATTACTGGGTGTGTATGTATATGAGTTGTATGAATGTATGTAAATTCACTTATGCACATATTGACAGAGCAAATGAAAAGCGTAAAAAAAACTTGCAATGCCTAAAGATTTCGAAAAACACAATCGTAAAGCGATTACAATCCATTAAATTAATAGTTTTCAAAGTGAAAAATCAATTATTTCCTTGCAAAATATCGGAAATTAGCCTTACAAATATGTGTATAATAATCTTTTGTTTAAATATATATGTATGTACATATGTAGCTTTCTATTAATTCACGACACAAGCGAAGCTACGCATCATATACTCTCGGAAGATTCCAGAAATATTAAATAATTACAATGTTTTGATTTTAGAAAATAATATTGCATGTACATTGCTACAAAAATGCGAATATTAGTCGATGTCGAAGTGTTGGTGTTGTTGGGTGTGCGCGGAGAGGGGAGGGGTATTATTCTAAAAGTGATATATTCTGAATTTATATTCAAGCTATATACCAAATCGCGGTTCTTTAGCTATTATAAATTCCGGGACATGTACAAAATCGATTATTATCGATTTTGCCCAAGTTATCTTAACACAAAAAAGTTTTCCATAAAAGTTCTTAGTTTTCGTCCGATGGTTCCTATGTCAGCTATATGATATAGTAGTTCAATTTTTTTTTTTTTTTGGGGGGGGGGGGGTGCTAGTTTGGGTAAGATGTCTTTATAAACAAAAAAGATTCTTATGTCAGAGCCTACTCTGGAACCGATCGTTTCAATGTCAGCTATATGATTTAGTGACCCGTAGTTGGTTTGATTTTGTTAATAAGTCGGAAGCATAGTGAAACTTATAAATGCCAAGACCTCATAAAGTATATATATTTAAGCATCAAAAATCGAGTCGATATAGCTATATCCGTCTGTTTATCCGTCCTAATGTATGAACGCAAGGGGAATTTTTATCGTAGATCCTCCTAGCTCCCGCGCAGTACCATAAGTCCGATGATCGATAACGATAAATCGATATTGAAATGACCAGTCACCAGCTTCTTGAATAGAATCTTTAACTTTATAGCTACACTCTGGTGTATAACGATAAACGCACCCACAGTTAACCAAATCATTTTCTGATTGGACCTTTTAAAAGCTATAGGCATCAAATTAAAATATGTAGGTTAGGCTAATGTATATCCAAATCGGGCAACACTTGTTTCCATTTAGTGAATTCCTACCCAGATTGCTTGTAAAAAAGAAAAAGTTATTTATAGAGCTATTGTCTTAGGAATTGCTATTTATCTGTATATACAACTGTTTGTCCTGAATGACTAACCAAAGTTAATTATGAATACATTTTTGCACATGTGATAAGAAAATCTTGAATGTTTCGAATGCTGTCGACTTGTGCACTTTAACTTGCTTTTTTATTATAAACCTAAAGATATTGGTAAATATTTTTTTTTTACTTTATAAAAGTTACTAAATTTCTGTTCCTCGTATTTTCAGATATAGCTATCCCCAAATTGTGTACTTTATTGGAAATTAAAAAGTCAATGTAAGTATATTAGAGAATAAGCTAAACAGACAAAAGCATTAAAAATGAGGCTAAAGTTAGTGACTTTAGCTAAAACCTAATCAATGCGCTTAAAGGGAGGATTTCGAAATCGATTTATATCGATTGTTGAGAAACGTTATCGTTGCCATTATACACCTTTTATATATTTTCATAGGGCTCAGGGTGAAATCAATAAAATTTGTGAAGACGTCCTTTAACTCCTTGCATAAGGTGTGTGTTTCAGGTTTCAACTCGTTAGGCGCAAATTATATACGTTGCCTGCCTGAGGCTTGCACGTGTATGAACGTGCCGTTCTCATAATCTATTAGAATAAGAAGCTTCAAAGTTTCAACGTAGATCCTCCTAGTGCTCGCTTTTTTTCCCCATTTCTAAGCAATCATTAAGCAATAAAAATCGATATCGAAATCCGGGTTTTTGACAAATCTTATAGGTTTTAAGAGGTAGAATCAAAATTGACATGTTCTTTCTAGTATATGTATACAGATAATTTATCATTTATAGGATGTAAATTAAAATTATTAATAACATAATAATTACAGATGGGCGATGTTGATCCAGAAACGTTACTGGAGTGGTTGTCCATGGGCCAAGGAGATGAAAGAGATATGCAATTGATTGCATTAGAGCAGCTATGTATGCTCCTTCTGATGTCTGATAATGTGGATCGATGTTTCGAAAGGTAAATTGGTTTGTTTTTATACCCTGAACCCATCAAAAATGGGTATAAGGGTAATTTGTGTTTGTGCAAAATCCAAGTGTATGTAACAGGCAGAAGGAAGCAACTCCGACCCCATAAAGTATATATATATTCTTGATCAGCATCAATAGCCGAGTCGATCTAGCCATATCCTTCTGTCTGTCCGTCCGTCCGTCCGTCAGAACATATAAGAGCTATAGACTTTACATTTTTGATGTAGGTGCATCTAGTGCCTGCGCAGATCGAGTTTGTTTCCGATAATCGATAACTTACTCCGTTTCCAAGTAATCGATAAAAATCGATATCGATATCCTGTTTTTTGGGCAATTTTAGTAAATAATAAGAGACACTTTGTATCCATTCCTCATTTGCCGAAACATTCATTTATTTCCAAAGACCTTTTTTGTTTATAGTCCTATCGTATTGGACTTTATATCAGTGGATTCAAAATTAGGATGTACTTTTACGAAAATGTTTTTTTTTTTAATTTAGCAGCGGAGCTAGGTAATAATCAACTAGATGAAATTATTATGATATGATTATTATAAATCGCATAACTATATAGTCAAAGTAGAAAAGAAAATTCCAGAGAAAACATAAATCGCATATTATTTATACATGTTATAAACTTTTTTTTTGACCTACTCATTTTGTTCGTTTTATTTTTTCAGCTGTCCGCCTCGAACATTTTTGCCAGCCCTATGCAAGATATTTTTAGATGAGCTTGCACCAGAAAATGTACTTGAAGTTACTGCACGCGCCATAACATACTATCTGGATGTGTCTGCGGAGTGTACACGAAGAATTGTTTCAATTGATGGCGCTATTAAAGCCATCTGCAACCGTTTAGTTGTTGCAGATCTTTCTTCACGAACATCGCGCGATCTTGCAGAGCAATGCATTAAAGTTCTTGAACTTATTTGCAGTAGAGAAGCAGGAGCAGTTTTTGAAGGCAGTGGCTTGAATTGTGTTTTATCATTTATTCGAGACTGTGGATCCCAAGTTCATAAGGACACATTACATTCTGCCATGGCTGTTGTTTCACGTCTCTGTACTAAAGTGGAACCCAATTCACCTTGTATAGAAAATTGCGTTGAAAGTTTGAGCACTTTATTACAACATGAAGATGCACTTGTATCGGATGGTGCCCTAAAATGCTTTGCCTCTGTGGCTGACCGCTTTACAAGGAAATGGATTGATCCCGCTCCCCTTGCTGAATATGGGCTGGTTACGGAATTGCTTAAACGTCTCGAAAGCGCAGGTGGCAGCGGCAACAGTCACCCCCTATCTTCATCAAAGTTAAGTGGACCTCTTCATACAAACCAGAACTCAGACAGACTAAATGAGAATGTTTCTGGATCGTCCGTAAGTGCAGCTGGCAAAATTCAAGCAAGTGAACTTCGGTCGCCTCAATCCATTTCAACAACAATTTCGCTCTTGTCAACTTTGTGTCGTGGCTCACCCTCAATAACGCGCGATATTTTAAGGTCTCAGCTGCCTGATGCAATTGAAAGAGCCTTAAAGGGCGATGAACGATGCGTTCTTGACTGCATGCGCTTTGCAGATTTATTGCTTCTTCTTCTGTTTGAAGGGCGTCAGGCCTTAAACAGGGGAAGCGGAAACTCCAGTCAAAGTCAATTGGCTCCGCGACCAAAACGAAACGACTCCAGTACTGATCGAACTCATCGCCAATTAATAGACTGCATACGGTCTAAAGATACTGAAGCTTTGCAGGAGGCAATCGAAACATGCGGCGTTGATGTTAATTGTATGGACGACGTCGGGCAGACTCTATTAAATTGGGCATCTGCTTTTGGAACCTTAGAGATGGTTGAATATTTATGTGAAAAGGGAGCAGATGTTAACAAAGGTCAAAGGAGTTCATCCCTTCACTATGCTGCCTGCTTTGGGCGCCCCGGTATCGCAAAGATTTTGCTCAAATTTGGAGCTTATCCAGATTTACGTGATGAAGATGGAAAAACACCGCTAGATAAAGCACGTGAAAGATCAGACGATGGTCACCGTGAAGTTGCCGCTATTTTACAATCCCCTGGAGAATGGATGTCTTCTGGACATATACTTGCAAGCAAGGACGGACAACTGCAAACATCGATTGAACCACGCGGTGACCCTGAAATGGCACCTATCTATTTAAAGCTACTTTTGCCCATATTTTGTCAGACATTTCAGAGTTCTATGCTGCCTAGTGTACGGCGAGCCAGTTTGGGACTTATTAAAAAAATTGTACAATATGCGCATCCCTCGGTTCTTAAAAGCATCTGCAAAAAGTGTGATGAACCGACAACTTCAAGAGCCACTCAAAGTGTTGGGAACTTGTTAACTGAAGTTATCGCCAGCGTTTTGGATAGTGAGGTAAACAATTGAAAATTATAAATCAATTCTTTAAGATAAATTGATAACACTTAAGCTCTTACCCAAAGCAAAAATTCGCCAGTCTCACTTACCGCAACGCATTGTTCAAATTATAACACCAGTTGAAAATTATTTTAAAAAACAAACGTTTTAAAGGCGTTAGACACACATAAAACATACCTTTATTTATAAAATGCTCTGTTTTTGTTTTTTTTGCAGGATGATGAAGATGGGCATGTAATAATTCTAAACATTATTGAGGAACTTATGTGTAAGACGCAAGAGGAATTTCTTGAGCATTTCGCGAGATTGGGAGTATTTTCCAAAGTACAAGCATTAATGGATCAGGGTGACAACAATAGCTCACCTCAATTCCCGTCAAGCTCGTCAGATCTGTGCTCAACACAAAAAGGACAAGCCTTTTGTATGGCCCATAGATCAGCACCCGGTAAGTTTATTACTATTTCTTTAATACGAAAACTAATATGTGAAATATTTGATTGTAGATGATTTGGTTGAGGATGCTAAAGAGATTTTTCAAGGCAAACCTTATCATTGGCGGGATTGGAGCATATGCCGAGGCCGTGATTGTTTATACGTTTGGTCAGATTCTGCTGCGTTAGAGCTTTCCAATGGTTCTAATGGCTGGTTCAGATTTATACTTGATGGGAAATTAGCCACGATGTACTCAAGTGGAAGTCCAGAAAATGGAAACGATAGCTCTGGTAAATATAAATAACAGTACCTTATCTGTGCGCTGTGCTGGATTAGCTATAAACAGAGCTAGCACCTATGCTATTCTAAATAATTATTATTATATTATATAATATGTATGTCAGAAACCAAAAATGGCCATACAGCAGTTAGATGGTACATGATAGATAAGCAAGAGGGCAACTACGTTCTGGACAGAGAGTAGGATAATAACCCACATAATAGGCAATGCTTTCTAAGCTAGCAAATGTATCTGTATATATGCTGACAGCCAAGCGATGATCCGGCTTAAATAGGAGATGGTTGAACTCTTTATCTCCGATACCGACTCAAACTACGAAAAAGATAAGAGAGAGAACTGCCGTCTTTACGTTGCTGGCATGGTTAACTATTTAAAAAAAACTTTACTAATTTTCGTGCAACACACATACACGCATCCCGAAAACAGTTCCATCAAGTTAATCAAAAAAATATTTCTGCAATTCTGTCTTAACAAATTAAATAATATGGTGACTAGACTCATTAGTTAAACGCAAGAATCGGAAAGGCAGTAGATTTAAAAAGGGTTTTCGCCATTCAGGATACTTAAAAGTTTGAGCGCATATTTGTATTAGCAAAATCCAAAATAATATTAAGACGAGAGTGAAGTTTAGTTATAAATTATAATATTTTTGTTGCAGAAAATCGTGGTGAGTTTCTAGAAAAACTGGTTCGAGCACGATCCAGCGTCAGCCCAGGCACGCCATCACAGCCCATATTGCCCACTGTTTCTGTATTAAGACTCGTGGTGGGAAATTGGGTGCTGCAATCACATAAACCTAATCAATTGCAAATTCACAACACCGAAGGTCACCAAGTGACGATATTGCAAGATGATGTGCAAGGATTTATCTTTGAAAGTAACAGAGGCACAAAGCATACGTTCACAGCGGAAACGTCTTTAGGTGCAGATTTTGCCTCGGGATGGGCTACGGAAAAAAAGAAAAGAACAAAGTCAAAGACAGACATTCAAAAGGTTCAAGTGTCAAACGTTTCTCGGGAAATTTATAATAAATACTTTAAGACCGCTCAAGTAACACCGCGTGGCGCTGTTGCAAAATTAGCTGCTATCGTAAAGCAAATCAATTTTGCTATTGAGGAGCAACGTTCGTGTTGCAACAGCAATTGGTCGAAAATCCTAGTGTCGGCACTAACAAACCTTTCCCAATTAATTCATGAGGATGGCGTTGTGAGTGCATATGAAATGCACTCGTCGGGCCTTGTGCAAGCCTTGGTTGCTGTTTTGTCCAATAACTATTGGGAATTTAATTCGTCCCGTTGCAAAACAAATAAAATGCTAAAGGAACGCATTGATATATTTAAAAAGTGTATTTTTGGAGAGTGCGATGAATCAAAAATATATAATACGAAAAATACGGCTAGTATCTTAATACAAAAACTTGTTGCTGTATTGGAAAGCACTGAGAAACTTCCATTGTTTCTGTATGACGCTCCGGGAACTGGTTATGGCCTACAAATACTTCAGAAACGACTACGATTTCGACTGGAGCGCGCTTCTTCTGAAAGCACACTTTTTGATAGAACGGGTCGCACTTTAAAGGTCGAACCTCTAGCAACAGTTGGCCAGCTTGCAAAATACTTACTAAAAATGGTCGCTAAGCAATGGTATGACCTTGATCGCTCTACATTTTTATACTTAAAAAAGTTGCGTGAACAGAAACAAGATATTTCGTTTACATACAATTTTGATTTCGATGAAGAAGGTTTAATCTATTACATCGGATCGAACGGAAGAACATGTGAATGGGTCAATCCTGCACAATACGGTCTTGTGCAAGTCACCAGTTCGGAGGGTAAAACGTTGCCGTATGGAAAACTAGAAGATATATTGTCACGTGATGCCGTTTCTCTGAACTGTCACACTAAAGATAATAAAAAGGCGTGGTTTTCAATCGACCTTGGAGTATGTATTGTGCCTACTGCATACACCTTGCGGCATGCTCGTGGATATGGACGTTCTGCACTACGAAATTGGCTTTTACAAGCATCAAAGGACGGTATTAACTGGACTACTCTTATTAGTCATGTTGATGATAAAAGCTTAGCAGAACCGGGAAGCACAGCTACTTGGCCAATTGTTTGTACTTCTGATGATACAAAAGGATATCGTCATATTAGGATCCAGCAAAATGGTCGAAATGCATCTGGTCAAACACATTATTTGAGTCTAAGTGGTTTGGAAATTTATGGACGCGTCGTAGGTGTTTGTGATGATATTGGCAAAACCATAAAAGAAGCAGAAGCTAAAACACGGCGTGAGCGACGCCAAATTCGAGCTCAATTGAAACATATTACTAGTGGAGCACGAGTAGTTCGTGGAGTAGATTGGCGTTGGGATGATCAGGATGGTTCGTGTCAAGGTACTATAACTGGAGAAATACACAATGGTTGGATTGATGTAAAGTGGGACCATGGTGTAAGAAACTCCTATCGAATGGGTGCTGAAGGCAAATACGATTTAAAATTAGCAAACTTAGAAAGTGTTTCTATCTTCGAAGGAGTTAATTCAACTCTACCAGTTGCTTCAGGTCCTGGACCAAAAAAAACGGATAAGACAAACGTGCTAACATCTCGAAAATCTAGCTCCACTCCATCTCTTCCCGAAGCTACCGAGATAAATAAAAACCCAGAAGATGCATCCAATCAAACTGTTTCAGCTGACAACCTTGCTTGGAAACAAACTGTAGAGACCATTGCCGAAAACGTATTCATATCAGCAAAGACTCATATTACAACCAACCAAGCGAATGCGGCTTTAAAAAAGGAAACCCAAGCTCAATACGATGAATCTAGTTCCGAGCAAACATCCTTAGCTACAACGAATATTCCGTCACCCTTAATTCGTGAATTACAACACATTGCAGATCTTTCTACAATTAATAATTCAATGCAAGCAATTAACTTAAATAATGTGTCAGACTTGGCCCCCATTTCAGAGAGCTTGTCAATTGTTGAAGTTTCAAAGGAAGCCAGTAGCGCAAAGCCCAGCGAGGGTACTTCGGTCGTATCAAAGGATATTAAACGAAGACCTTATATTGAAGAAAACAATAAAATGAATGCTAATAATTCCGTCAACAATTTGGCAAAAGGGCTGTTGATAAATTTAAGGCAAATAAACTCATCGAATTCTCATTGTGTTTCACAGCTTCCAACCGAAACTCGCGAAATAATAGATAAAATGCGTGATGGTGTAGACATGTTACGTAACAATACTAATAACATACTATCATCAGATGAACTACACATACCTCGTTCAAATGTGTCATCGGAGCCGAAAGGGAATGCAAAGGTCTCGGTACTCATACAACATGACAGTCTTCAAAAAAGTGACACCTTGGATGGTGCGAGTAACGAAGCGGTGAATTCCTCTACACCTCGCCAAAATTTGGATAGTTCAGATAGCACGACACAGATTTCAAATTTCCCAGGTCAAATCGACAATATTATTAATCCGCAAATTTCAAATGATGTTGTTTCCGTTTCTAACCAAATGAGCATCAGCGTGCCCAACTTAACGACATCTTCGGAAGTATCGTCAACGTCAGAAGTGGCAGTACATACTGGTTTATTGGAAACATTCACAGCGATTGCGCGTCGTCGGACTTCACAAGATACCAACAATGATATTGGAAATCAGTCAAACAACACGAATGTTAATAAAAACGAGCATAGTAATCAGAACGTAGGAGCAAGCTCATTTTTTGCCAGAGGACCCAACTCGGTAACAAGCTTAGTAAAGTTGGCTTTATCGAGTAATTTTCATTCCGGTTTATTAAGCACAGCGCAAAGCTATCCTAGTCTTTCATCCAATAATGGAGACAACACTTCATCATCGAATCCAACTAATAAAAAAGTTAGTCAACAGGCAACATCATCAGTTAATCCAACGTTAACAATGAGCTTAACTTCTACTTCGAGTGATAGTGAACAAGTGTCTCTAGAAGACTTTTTAGAAAGCTGCAGAGCCCCCACATTGCTAGGCGACATGGAAGATGAAGATGATATGGAGGAAGAAAATGACGAAGAAGAAAACGAGGACGAGTATGAAGAAGTGGGAAATACACTTTTACAAGTTATGGTTTCGCGAAATCTATTAACATTTATGGATGATGAATCCTTGGAAAATAGATTGGCAGGTGTAAGCAAGCGCAAATCATGGGATGACGAATTTGTTTTAAAAAGGCAGTTTTCTGCCTTAATACCTGCTTTTGATCCCAGGCCGGGTCGTACAAATGTGAATCAAACTTCGGATTTGGAAATTTGTGCGCCAGATACAAACATGGAAAACTTTCAGCAAACCGGGCAAATAACTGCTGATCAGACAATGCTCGGCTTGAAATTACGTGGCCCAGGTGTGGGAGGAGTTCCAGATGTTGAAATTGACTTGGATAATAGTGAGTGGACTATATTTCGAGCCGTACAGGAACTGCTTCAAAATAGTCAAATGAATAAAAATGATAAATTTCGCAAATTATGGGAACCAACATACACAATTGTTTATAGAGAAACATTTCCAACTGTTAAAGAATCTTCATATATGGAATCAGAAGAAGGTCAAAAAACGCCAGGAGTTTCATCTCGAAGCGGAGCTTCTACATTATCTCCAAATTCCCCAGTGCATGGAGGATTGAGCATTACAGATAATACATTATGCTCCGTTGAGGACGTTCTTGAATTGCTAACCCAGATCAACGCACTCAACCAATGTGAAATAGAAAGCGGAGTTCAGTGTACTAATTCACCGAAACGTTCCTTTTTACCAGCTGAGCTATTCATGAGCAAAAAAATTACCAATAAATTACAACAACAAATTCACGATCCTCTCGTTCTTTCAAGCAACGCACTTCCCAATTGGTGCGAAGATTTAAATCAGTCTTGCCCATTTTTATTCCCATTTGAAACTAGACAATTATATTTTAACTGTACTGCATTCGGAGCATCTAGAAGCATTGTTTGTTTACAATCTCAACGTGATATTACAACGGAGCGGCAAAGGATTCCTATTATGAGTCCGCGTCGAGACGATCAGCACGACTTCCGAGTTGGACGATTAAAGCACGAGCGGGTCAAAGTTCCACGAAATAAGGATTTACTAAAATGGGCTATTCAAGTCATGAAAGCTCATTGTAATCGAAAGTCTGTACTTGAAGTCGAATTTTTAGATGAAGAAGGCACAGGATTGGGACCAACACTTGAATTCTATGCTTTAGTAGCTGCAGAAATTCAACGAGCGGATTTGTGTATGTGGCTTTGTGATGATGATTTAACCGAAGCTCAAGACACACCACAATTTCACAATATTGAAGACACTTCAAAACCAATAGGCTATTATGTTAACAGGCGTGAGCATGGATTATTCCCAGCACCTCTGCCACAAAATTCCGAACTATGTGAGCAGGTATCGAAGTATTTCTGGTTCTTTGGAGTTTTCATAGCTAAAGTTTTGCAGGATATGCGACTTGTTGATATGCCTTTGTCAAAATCCTTTCTACAATTACTTTGTCACAACAAAGTATTATCACGAAATGATTTAAAGCTCAAAGCCAATACACATTTCCAAGATCTGATGGCGAGCTCAGTTGCTTCAAAAGATTCCGAGTTTGCAAATACATATTCTCAAGTTTTAAACGAGGATTTTACACAGTTCAACTGGTTTAGTGGAATTCTAAACATTGAAAACCTAAGAGAAATCGATCCAACGCGCTATCAATTTTTAATTGAACTACAAGACTTGTTAATGCGTAAACAAGCAATTGATTTAGATGAAAGTCTAAGCATGGAAGAAAAATCTGAATTGGTCAAGAATCTTAAATTGCGCACTAAAAATAATATAGAAGTATCACTGGACGATTTGGCCCTTTCCTTTACATATTTACCTAGCTCGTCTGTGTATGGATACACATATGCAGAGCTTATTCCAAATGGTTATGCAACTGAAGTCAATATAAATAATCTAGAAGCATACTGCGAATTGCTTCTCAACTTTATGTTACACGATGGTATTGCCAAGCAAATGCAGGCATTTCATGACGGGTTTTGCGAAGTTTTTCCTTTGACTAAACTAGCCGCATTTAACCCATCCGAGGCTAGAATGATGATATGTGGCGAGCAATATCCCCAATGGAACCGCGAAGATCTAATGGCGTACACCGAGCCGAAACTGGGTTACTCCAAAGATAGGTGAGGCTCCCATTACTTCAAATTAAAGTTTTTGCTAATTCAATTCTTTTTGTTCAGTCCTGGATTTTTACGTTTTGTTAACGTTCTGTTAAGCTTGTCGGGAACTGAACGTAAAGCTTTTTTGCAATTTACCACTGGCTGTAGTAGCCTGCCTCCGGGAGGATTGGCCAATTTACATCCGAGACTTACAGTAGTACGCAAGGTTGACGCTGGACAAGGAAGTTATCCATCAGTGAACACTTGTGTTCATTACTTGAAACTTCCCGACTACCCGTCTGAGGAAATAATGAAGGATCGATTATTAACAGCAACTAAGGAGAAAGGTTTTCACTTAAATTAAAAAAGTGTGTTTATTTACATTGTTAATTAAAATTTGAACCGGTTTAGATATTTTAAAAAATCTAAAAATATGTAAATACTAAACGTTCTGGTAAATAACAATTGCAATTAATGTCCGAAACATTGTAAAACAATAATTGCTTAGTTATAAATTCAACTAAAAAAAAATAGTCGGATAATTACTTATTTTAATAAATTGCCTTGATGTTAAATTGGATTCTGAGGAAGGCTAAACTAATAGGACAAACAAAAGAGCAGAGGCAGGAGCCATCGAGCCGTCACGTAGTCCGCGACTCAATCGTCAAGAAAAAGACAGGAGTGTGGCGCATGTGCATCGATTACCGGTAACTCAACGCGAACTTCATTCCGGACGCTAACCTTATCCCTCGGATCAATTATCTCACGGTGAGGTTATCTTGGACATGTGATTAGCGGAAATCGAAAGAATGTGATACGAACCGATCCGGAGAAGGTGGAAGCGATGCAAAGCCTTAGGGCGCCGACTAATTTTTACTTTAAATTGCTATTTAATGATCATACGATGAGGAACAGAAGCAAGCATTGCGTCAGTTGAAGGACAACTTGACAAACGCACTGTTTTGGGTTGCCCTGACTGTTCCTACAAATGTTTCGCGAGTATGCGTTCTAGGATCGCCTAAGAGCCGGCCAAGTTTTCTGGCTATATAGGGGAAATTGGGCAACTGTATAGTCAGTTGGGCCATCGGTCGGATGAAAAATACTACATTTCCTGGCAACTGGATAGCCAATGATCAACGACAGAGGATGCTGCGGGAATGTCATGAAGCTCCCACGGCTGGACATCAAGGCGTGAGTAAAACAGTTTTAATATTAGCTCAGAGTTACTATTGGCCAATTATGTTTTGCGACTCCGCCAAGTATGTGAAGTGTGAACTCAAGCCGGACATGGCTGAAAAGGGTATAATGTATTTGTTTGTTACAGGCAAAAGGAAGCATTTCCGACCAAATAAGCATTTAAAGCCGAGTCTATCTAACCATGTCCGTCTGTCTGTCCGTCCGTATGTATGAATGCAGATCAACGTAGGTTCTTCTAGTGCCCGGATAATCGATAACTCCGTGCGATTTAGAGCCAAAAATCATGGCTGAAAAGGGGATAATGTATTTGTGCAAAGGTTTGTTACAGGCAAAACCATGTCCGTCTGTCTGTCCGTCTGATTGCGGTAAAACTACCGTCTAAGAACCAAACAAATTGACTAGCAGCCACTTTATGCTGCTTACCAGCTCGTCCTCAGATCGACAGGTATTCAATTTTTGTTTAAGCCTTTAAGCTACACATTTGCACTTAAACTTAATATATTAAATTTTAAATCAAATTGAATGAAGTCAATACCCTAATCAATGAAATAGGTAATATTGCATTATTTTAAATTGTTTATTGGCTCAAAATATATTTTAACATTAAAAAAAAATCATTAATGGTACATCATAACATCAGTGCTTTGGTACATACACATATACGCGTCGCAAAACAGACGCTTCGCGTGTTCAGGTAAGTCTTTGTCCTTCACGGACCTTTCATTAATGTGTCGGGCGCCCTCGTCAGATAACCACTTAGGCAATTCTCGAACGGATATCATTTCTGGTATATTATATCCGTTTTTTTCACCTATAGAATTTTTAAATATAAGAATTATTATTTTATTTTAAAAACAAAAAATAAGTTAGAATGTGCACAGAAAATTCCTTCATGAATTTATCAAAATATACTTCTATATAAAATAGAGCATAGAAGTCGTCGTTGTAGCTAGTCGATATAGTCATGTCCGTCTGAGCGATTGTCAGCTTTTTCTACACAAGTTTGTCTGTTTGTCTTAAGTATAATAAAATCCAAATACAGTCCAAACGGTACGAGCTGCAAAGCTTTTTTTTTTAGCTATTTGACTTGCTATAAGCTACAACAATAAATAAAAATGTACTATTTGGTTATATATACCTTTTCTATCAGCCATTGAATCAAAAAAGCACCATGGAGCATCTGGTCCCGAGCCTGCTTTCACGAATGCTACATAATGCGAAGTTTCTATACATACAACGGCAAAGAGATCCATGTAAAGTCTTGGTAAAATCATGTGATCGGCCATTACTTTAAAGTCTCTTGGCACAGAAAGTTTTTTAGATTTGTGGTTGGCTCTGAAAATATGTAAAGCATGTTTGTCAAAGCGTAATTACTAATGAAAAACTAACCTTTTTGCATGCATGTGAACTGTGTTAAGGCATTTCTGACAAAAGGCTGTGTAATCAAGGCCAGAGCCGGCCTGCAAACAACCAAAACATTCGCGGCATTCGTATTCTGCAAGTTTTCCACAAACGGTACACTGACGGGGTGCTAATTAAATATAAAAAGGAAATTAAAATAACATCAACTTAAAGTTTATTTGTTAAATCCTGAATATCTCAAAAAAAAATTTTTTTATCATTTTTATCCATCTCTGTAAAAATTAATTTGATACGCGTATTACACTTCTCGCAAATTCCTTCTTCTTAGATGGAAAAGGTTGTATGAACGAATAATTGTTTTTCAGCTTAAAGTAGATAGAAATGGTTGTTTCGACTTTTGGTTCTGAATTTAATGAATGGCAAATAAATGTCTAAGATTTGAAGCAAAAACTGCAAGCCTGTCTTGGGGTTTACTTTTTGTTGATGGACTACAATATTCACAATTATTTTCTTTGAGAATCGAAATAAAAAACATTTGAACTATTTCTGTTAACTTACAATCTTCAATTATATCTGTAATATCCAGAAATTGGGATGGTAAAATTCGAGGATACATTTTGTAGCTCTTTCCAAAACGAGGCATTTGAATTATGAGACATGACGGAACTTCTTTTAATTTTATATCGGACGAATGAAAGCTTTGTTCGAAAAGTTGCTGCACCGTCGGAAATGTCAATCGCTCATCTTTCTCTACAAACAGTTGATAAAAATAAGAATCTTGTCCAGAGCTTAGCTAAAAGAAACAAATTTGTATATATATTATTATATAAAAAAATATATTATAAAAAGTAAAACGTACTTTTAAAAATGGTTCCACTTTCATTATTTGGGATAACAAACTGTTTAAAAACTCTTCTGGATCTTTTTCCTCGCTGGTCAAACCACTTACGGAACTAAGTTGATCCAAAAATTTACGCAGTTTCATGACACGATCAGCACGAACGAAAACATTCTTTCGCAATGGATTAACTATCTCATCACGTAAAACGTTTTGAACAGCCCTATAATGTGAAATATCCTAAAACAAAACAAATTATAAAAGAAATTTGTTATTTTGAGGTTTACAATTACCTGAGGGTCTGGCCTTCTATATAAAATGGAATCAAAGACACTGGTAAAAGTAAACATTGAGAACAATGTTGCGTCTAAATAGCAAGAATTGTGGTGTCCCTGAATGCCTTTAAATTTTCCGCATATCTCTTCTAATTCATCTACATTTTGCACACCTGAAAAAAAAGATTGATTAAACAAATCAGTTTTATAATGAGAGGTCACATCAGTCAATAAATATCGATTGTGGAACGCGCATTTAATACATAATAATAATATATATAATAAAATAATATATATTGCGTTCTATGATTCAATGCGTGGAAAATGTGCATTCCTATGCAAGGATGGTTTATATACTTACCCAATGGTGGAACGGCCCCTAACACTGATGGACAATCAACGTGGCCAAATTTTATTCCGTTAACGTCAGGTGATATCGTGCCAACTAAACAGCTGCCCTCTGTATCGACGAACCTATGGTCACTTGCACATTTATTAGACGGTACAAAAATAGCTCCACCTTCACGACATTTAAACAATCTGAAAAACATTAAAGCTAGCTCAATATTATGTTTTTAAAATAAATTCCAATTTAAATTTTAATCGCGAAAAAGGCGAAATGTTCTCTTGACAACTGCCATCAACTTTTTCAACAATATAAAAACGGCTTTAAGTTGTTTACATTAACTTACCGAACACCATTATAAGTTCCATCAGATGTGCTCAGATTCCTTAAGTTTGGATCATCTTCAACTTCAATGCCAACCATTATGTTTGTTGAATTTGGAGGAATGCCGATCCAACGAATTACACCATAAAAATCACTAGGTCCAGAATCCGAAACCTCAACGAGAGATCCGATTGTTAGCTTTGTGCCAGGTATTTCCGATAACTGCTGGTAATTTGAATTGTTTATCTCTAAAATGTATATATAAAAATGAATAAGCATTAGTTCAGTTATATTTTGGAAACAAGAACCCTCAAAGCTTATTAAAGCTATATATTTCTCTTGCAAAAATGTAGTTTTAAGATGATATCACAGGGTTACTATCATTGAAATTACATTTGCTACATTTATTTTTAAATTACATGGTACTATTTAATCTTGTTTGCAGTTCTCGGTCCAGATTCAGAAATAGAATCTTAAGCGAACCGACTTTGTGAGTTTTGTGCATTCCTCACTTTATTTAATTTTATAATATAACCGGATTTTAAATCCCCATTTATATACCCTGAACATATTAAAAATGGATATAAAGTGTATCATGTATTTGTATAAATGTATGTTACAGGCAGAATGAAACATCTCTGACCCCATAAACTATATATATATTCTTGATCAACATCAATAGAAGAATCGATCTAGCCATGTCCGTCAGTCTATCTGTCCGACTAATTGTCCGTGTGTATGAACGCAAGCATCTTGAAAACTCTAAGAGCTAGAATGCAGGTCAGTTTTATATTTTCATGTTCTGAACATCATCATAAAACAGCCGCTGCCGTAGCTTTATAGCCGAACATCGATTAAAATCCATCGTATACTTGTCGTCTTTCTTCATTCATCTCTAGGTAGTTGATTTGTGCAACTTTGATCTTCCAAATTGCAAATCTACAAACAAACTACAATTATCGCAATTGTTGGATTTCTACTATATTTTTGGGTCGATCTCATATGAAGGCAGTCTTTTACGAGCAGT